GGAGAAATGTTTAGGGTGTAATAGGTTTTTTATAATTTTCGAAAATAAAATCAGATTTAAAAATAATGGCATTTTGGTAAATAGGTGGAAACATGAGGAGAGTTTAGGTTTTTTAAGAGTGAATAGTAATGACAAAAAAAAAGAGGTTGGTTTTGTGTTTGACTTGAAATTTTAGGTTGGTTTTGCAAAAACCCCTTAAATAAATGATTAATAATGGATAATTTTCTTTAGTTAAAAATATTAAATACCTTTTGGGTCTGAAAATAATAATTGATTTTTTGATCTTTTAAGGTGAAAAGTTTATTCAATGTTTTGGAGTTTTTTTTTAATACTAAGCCCAAAAACCAAACTATATAATTTGTTCAAATAATAAAAGTAAGCCCAAAACTATATTCCATAAATAACCACTGATTTAATTTAAGTATAATTAGTAGATTTCCGTATTCCATATTTTGATGATATATATTCTTTTAGAACATTCCATATTTGTAGGAGAAAATATGTGTTTTTGGTATACACCTAGATATCTGCCATATTTTGAAGGTAGTTTACATTAAGGTCGTCTTTTTACATTAATTTTTTTGGTTTAATTTAAGTAATACGGTTCAATCAATTATATGACTTATATTATTTGTAACATTCTAGAAAGAGTCCAAATTTAAATTACAACTTGTATCAGTAGATAAAAAGAATGACTCTATTTTAATAGAATAGATAATTCTAGAGCTTCTAACTTAAAATATAGTCTAAAAATTATACTCTCTAGCAATATAATATTTTGTAGGCTATAGTTGGTCGCATATATCAACCATTTATTGTATCGCAAACTTTCCTTAAATAAAATCTACGGAATCACCTAATGTGATTAAAATATATATATGACAATTAATAATTTCAAACAATAAAGATTTGATAACAGTCTGTATACTTTTTATCATTTTATTTATTTCTTTATTATTAAAATAAATTACACAATTACATTAATCATATAATAAAAATTTATATTTTTTGTGTATGTTGTATTTCGAATTTTTCAAAACGAGTATAAATTACTAAAATTGTTAAAAGTCTCACATAAACTATTAGGATCAAGGTTTTAACTTTTTATATAAAAATATAATGATTATAAGACCATATGAAGAAATAATTTTATTTTAATAGGTTTTATGTTAATATATATATATATATATAATTTAAATTAAACTATACATCGTATGAAAATACATACTTATATTTTGATATTTGCATTGAACATATATTGAAAAATTAATACTTTAATTTTTAAATATGTCATTGTTTTTTTTTTAAATGATTATAAATTATTGAAACTACTAAACATCTCACATTAAAAAAATCAAAGGTGCAAAGTTTTGTTACACAAATATACAAATAATCGAAAAATCATACGACTAAAACCTCATTTAATAAATATCCATATTAAAAGTGTGCTATATTACTATGTTTATATCATTTAATTTTAATTAAATATCATATATGATATAGAAGTTTGATTGTTTTGATTTATTTAGCTTAATTGCGAATAAACAAGAGTGATAGTTAAATTTATATGCATATGCCAATTTATTATATAATAGTAACTGATTTCTTAGTTATTTAGTATGTATATTTATTATTTTATAATATGCAGGAAAAATATAAAATAATTAATAAATATAAAATACTTATTATGCATCGTATGAAAATACATATTTATATTTTGATATTTGCATTGAACATATATTGAAAAGTTAACATTTTAATTTTGAAATATGTCATTGTTTTTTTTTAAATGATTATAAATTATTGAAAACTATTAAACATCTCAGATTAAAAAAAATTAGTTGGTGTAAAGTTTTGTTACACAAATATGTAAATAATCATAAAATCATATGAGTAGAAACCTCATTTAATAAATATCCATAATAAAAGTGTGCTATATTACTATGTTTATATCATTTAAATTTAATTATATATAATATATAAGATTGATTTTTTGATTTATTTACCCTATGCAGATAAATCCGATTGACACGTGAACATTAACTTCTCATAACTATAATTAATTTTGAATTGTTAAATCATGATATAAAACAGAGTTAATTTTTAATTTGTTAATTTTTAAAAAAATTAATTTTTTAGATCGTTATGGTGATGTTTAATCATGGCCATAATTAATTTTAAATTGTTAATTTTTATTTGAAAAACTTAAAATATTAGTTTTAAAAATACTTTTATTTTTAAAAAATTATTTAAAATTTAAATTAATTTTTATCATTTTTTTTAAACAATTTTTAAAAGAATATAATTTTCTAATATTATTAAACAAATAAATAAATTATATTAAATTAGTTTTGAAACTTTATATATTCTAAATGCAAATATTCTATCAACTGATTCTTAAGAAAACATTAGGGAACTTGCTAATACTTTACCAATCAAGTACAGTAACATTCCGTTTATTTTCCATCACTCGAACACTGAAAAGTGAAAAGATATATGAAATCATGGCCATTAAATTCTAAACTTTGATCTATATTTCTAATTACAATTGTTTCTGATCCTGCGTAAAGATAATTATATAAAAATTCCAAATATATATAAAAATAATCATATGTAAATACTAAAATTTCTATTTTAATTATATACATTCACCTAGCAGGTCTTATCCCAGTGACATGATTATTTATTAATGTGTGGGTTGATCCATTCATAGCACGTTACTGCACGTAGCACGTCGATGTTGGAGGTCAAAAATCGTTTGTGAATTCCCCGATTCCCCTCCCCCTCCTCTTTTTGTCCACATGCTGATCCTAGCTCTTCTTTACCTAAGCTTTTCAAACCATCCCTTACTCTTTACTCTTTTACCAAACTCTTTTACCTAGTCCTGCGATTTCGGTTTTACCCAACTTCTCCTAATTTTTAAGGGTGGACCAATTCTTAAAGTGAGGTATTTCTTTTGCCTAACATCTTGGGCCATAAAAGCGCATTTAATTTCTATAACCAGAGTTTCCTAGGGTTGAATCTTAGAAATAAAGAACATTTTCTTTGGACCATGATAGTTTGGTCGTATTCTTTCAGAACTTATGATAGTTTTGTTACAAAATGATAGTTTGGTTGCATTATTTCGGGCCCTATTCTTTCAGAACCTATGACCATCTTAGTTTAGATTTTTTTTTTTTTTTTAAAGTAATTATATTAATATATAAATCTGCCCGAAAGATCGAGAATCAGATACGGTTACAAGCTCTGTTCAAACAAAATTATCGAAATCTGACTATTACAAACCTAGTTTCGCCCACCCACTAAACCCGGCACATTCCGCTAAGTTGTTTTTCGAAATCTTTCAATATCGGTAGCCGTTCTCAACCATCAACGTAACTCTCGGGAAAGTGAGGTTCTCCTCGTTTCCTTGGATGCCGGGAGTTCCCTGGACGTTTTTGGAGTAGCTAGTTCCCGATGATCTCAACAAAGCTCATAACTTTTTCTGTCTATGAAGCGCAAGATGGCCGAAGGGGAGAGATCAAATACTTACCAATGCCTTACCAAAGCTGGCTAGTATAAAGCGCCACACGACACCTTGACCGCATCCCAAATCGAGCAAGCACCCGCTCCTGCCATCAACAATCTTAGTTTAGATTTGCTCTCCGCTGCAGGATATGACCTTGGGAGTTGTCAATTTAAGTAACAATGTGATGTGACCTTGTACAAGAAACGCTATAAGACTAGTGAAGTTTTAGTTCAGCGTGTGCTTGTTTTGACACCCTAAACATTAGACTGTTGATTCAGTAACCATCTCCTTTTCGCTATATCCCCTTCTCTGGAGACACGATTTTGGTAAACCGTTTAAATCCCAATTCCATGTTTCTCAGCTAGTCAGGATTCTATGCTTCACTTAAAAACTGTCTGTATACTCAACCCAACCTCCCACACTAAATAGTAAACAGAAAAATGTGTATTTAGAAAAGAACCATATAAACCACAGTTAATGAGACTTCAGAAAAATCAAAGTCCATAGAAGCATACGTATTTCAAGTCGAAACAAGGATATTTATTGATCCATTAGAAGATGTTAAAATTAGGTTAGAGTTGAAAAATCAACCTGATGTAGTGAAAACGACATGCGTTCTATACAAATCTCGACTGAAACATCTCGCTTAGATTTAACCGAAAACTTTCGATCAGGGCCCCAAAAACGTTTTCTTGGGCAAAGTTTGTCATCAAATAACATGTGATTTTGTCGTGTCCTTGCAACATTAAATTTTGAATCCTTGAGCTGAGGAAGGGGGAATTAATACTATTAAGGTTATAACTCCCAAGTCATATAAGATTTGTAATGACTAGGACTGTGATGAAGCCGACACTTTTAGAAGTGTCTGTTGATACGTTGCTAGTATAGAAAAATCCGTCCCAAAAATACTAAAATTGAAAGAACAAACTTATAGATTTCCCGTTGTAGTTATGTTCAATAGTCAAACGAATGTTGAAGGACCTTCAGCTTCAATCCTGACTAGCTGAGAAAGGTCTAATGTAAAATTAAATTAAATTAATTGTTAACTACACAGAATATTTTAAAACTAGGGTATTTAGTTTAATGAATAATTGAATATCTTAATTAATATTTATTACACGTATGTTTAAATTTAATTACTCTCCCAAACCGTTGTCACAAAAAAAAAAAAAAAAAATTACTCTCCCAAACCTATAAGTTTTTTGTTATTATGACTCCCAAACCTATTACGACTTTCTTAAAATAAAACCCTCGATGTGTTGCAGTGAGTTGCACTATTAAAACTCGACGGTCACATTACTTACCTCACAAGATTCTCTCTCTTTTTTTTTTTTCTCATCTTCTTTTGTCCTCTTTCTCTTTCCTAAACTCCTTTCGAATCTTCTCCTCGATTCTCTCCATCTTCTCTTCTTTTGGTTTCTCCGTCGTGTGAAGAGAGTCGCCGATGAGGAACTCACCTTCCAAGAACGAGTCGGCAGCAGGTGGGCATTCTCGTAACTTCACCAACACCATCTGGTCTCCCTTTGTCAAGTCCTCCGGTTTCGGAACATCTCCCAACAGATCCTACGCCCTCCTCTCCTTACTCACTCTCCTCATCGTCGGCGCGTTCATCTCCACGCGCATCCTCCTTGACCCCACCGTAAGTCCCAAAACGACACTCCAACTTGTCTTACTAAATTTGTATAGATTTTTGGAAAAGCATATATCTTGCATCATGTACTTATCCTTTTAATAACATTTACATATTGCATTATTCCCTTTCTCCTCAATAGAAATTATCGAAAGTTACATAAAACTCAATATAATATTCTGATATAGTTTTAAAAACTTTCTTTTGACCAAACAAAAATTAAACTTTGAATTTTGATCTGTTTTTACGTGATGATTTTCAATTGTGTTATTAGAAAGAGTCTTGGTGGTGGTGATGTCGGCTCTCTGACAAATCACGTAAAAAACTGACACGTGCTTGTTCCAGGACCCACCTACGACTTTTCGAGTTAACTAGTTGTAACCCACTTTACTAGTTACGACTAACACATGTCATCAACGTTTTTTCTATTTCAAACTAAATAGGTTCTACTAGAGAAAGAGGCCGCCACGACAAAAACTAAAACACAAACGATATTCCCAAAATACCCTCCACAAGCTTCAGTAACTACACAAAGCCCTAAACCCGAGTTCACACTACACTGCTCCTCCGCCAACGACACCAACGTAACGTGTCCAAGAAACAACTACCCGGCCACGACCATCTTCCGAGAAGATGCTCCGAGCGCCACGTGTCCGGATTACTTCCGCTGGATCCACGAGGATCTCCGTCCCTGGGCGAAGACGGGGATCACGAGGGAGGCGTTGGAGAGGGCTAAGAAGACGGCGAATTTCCGGTTAGTGATCGTCGGCGGGAGAGTTTACGTGGAGAAGTTTCAGGATGCGTTTCAGACGAGAGATGTGTTCACTATCTGGGGGTTCTTGCAGCTTTTAAGGAAGTACCCTGGGAAGATTCCTGATCTTGAGCTCATGTTTGACTGCGTTGACTGGCCGGTTGTTAAAGCTTTGGATTTCTCCGGAGTGAACGCGCCGTCGCCTCCGCCGCTGTTTCGGTACTGTGGAAATGAGGAGACGCTTGATATTGTGTTTCCTGATTGGTCCTTTTGGGGATGGTAATGAAAACTTTATTTTTTTTTATTTTTTTTATAAGTAACCCTTGATCTGTTCAGTTCTCTTAATTACACCACAGTAGTTTCGAATAGATCAATTAAACCCAGTAAATTTTTGGCGAAGACAAAAAAAAAAAAAACCAGTAAATTTTTGGCATGGTTGATTTTTGTAGGTCGGAGGTGAATATAAAGCCATGGGAGAGTCTGTTGAAGGAATTAAGAGAAGGGAATGAGAGGACGAGTTGGTTAAACAGAGAGCCTTATGCTTATTGGAAAGGGAATCCATCGGTGGCAGAGACAAGACAAGATCTTATGAAGTGTAATGTCTCTGAGGAACACGAGTGGAACGCTCGTGTATATGCTCAGGTAACAATGATGATTCCCTTTGAATAATGTAATGTTATAGAGAAAATGGCATGATTCTGCTGGTTACTAATGCAATCTTGATTTATATGTTTTTTGTTTGATCTTGTAGGATTGGATCCGAGAATCAAAGGAAGGTTACAAGCAATCAGACTTGGCGAGTCAATGCCATCACAGGTAGTTTAAATGAGCATATTCAGAGATTTGGGTCTTGCATATTAGCTGAACATGAAAGTTGCCATATGAAAATAGTAACGATATGGGTCTAATGCAATGTTTATCTGTAGATATAAGATATACATAGAAGGGTCTGCATGGTCCGTTAGCGAGAAGTACATTTTGGCGTGTGACTCTGTGACTCTGCTTGTGAAACCTCATTACTATGATTTCTTCACTCGAGGCCTGCTTCCAGCTCACCATTATTGGCCCGTTAGGGAGCACGACAAGTGCCGCTCCATCAAGTTTGCGGTTCATTGGGGCAACTCTCACATTCAAAAGGTACATTATTAATCTAAATATTTGAACTGATAATAGTGTCTATATACTCATGTCAGCGGTTGTTTTGTTTTTTTTGGTTACCAGGCGCAGGATATTGGAAAGACAGCGAGCGAGTTTGTTCAACAAGAACTCAAGATGGACTACGTGTATGATTACATGTACCACCTTCTAACCGGATACTCGAAACTCCTCCAGTTTAAACCCGAGATTCCCAAGAATGCCATAGAGATATGTTCGGAAACAATGGCGTGTCCGAGGAGCGGGAACGAGCGTAAGTTTATGACGGAGTCACTCGTGACGCAACCTGCAGAGACCGGTCCGTGTACCATGCCACCTCCGTATGATCCGGCGTCATTTTACGCCGTTGAAAAGAGGAAACAAAGTACAAGTACGAGAATACTACAGTGGGAGATGAAGTACTGGAGCAAGCAGAATCAGACCGGCTCTTGAATTTTTTAGCTTCATTTCTGTTTTTGTTGTATAGAGAAATAATACATATATAATCCAGTTTATTGTTGTTACAGTGTACTACGTTTCATTTTTGGTAAAATGTTAAGCTGTGTACTACTACGTTACATGTTTCGACTTTCGAGTTTAGGCTATTTCACACGAGATCAAAACCAAGTAATGTCAAACAATTTTCTAGAATATAAATTTATTATTTATTAGCTGCTAGATATTTGTTTGTACTATAGTTTAAATAGATCAGGTAAAGTAAGTCAGCTTCGTGTGTTAAGATCTGACCGGTACAAATGCAGTGACTGTGATTGCAATTGCGGGACTTTGTGGTACAAACGCAGTGATTATGGATGCAAATGGTTGCGATTTTTAGAAGTTTCAAGAGATTTGCACGAGTGGTATTACAGTTAAAATGAATGCATTTTGCAAAATAGTTTTGATTGATTAACTGCCAAATGCAGCAGCTATTAAATAATAAATTAATCATATTTACATTTTATATAATTATAAAAATATCAAAAATGATAATATTCTAATAAATATAAAAATTATATTTAGAAAGTTTTAGTTTCAATTTTTTAAAAATTATAGAAAATAGTTTATTTTAAAATTTTATAACATTAATTAAAATAGAATACATATATTTTAGTATTTTTATAATTTCGATTTAAATTTTTTATTGAATATTTTTATTTTGTATTTATATTGTTTTTTAAAAAAGAACAAAAGTTACCATCCCGCTATCACCCGCAACCACAAACGTTACCTGGAACCAACTATTGAATTTAAGAGATTTAGAGCGATTTAAAACGGTTTAGAGCGGTTTGAGTGATTGTTTCAAAACGCTAACAACCGCTGTAAACCGCAAAAGTTGTGTTTTGGCTGATAACGGGGAAACCAATCATATCCTTATAGCCTGACTAGTTCAAACGTAGCGGTTGCGATTGCGGAAGTTTGCGAATGCGGGTGATTGCAGTTTCTTAGGTTTTAAGAGATTTGTACGATTAGTGCTGCAATTACAAATTGGTGCGTTTACGGGATATTTATGACTGGTTAACTAGCAAATGCAGTAGCGGTTAAAATATAAGTTAACAATATTTACATTTTGTTTAATTATAAAAAATACCAAAATCATAATATTATAATAAATATATAAATTATACTTATAAAGTTATAGTTTTAAAATTTTAAAATTATTGAAATATTCTTAATTTTTTAAAAATAATATTAATTAAAATAATATATATATTTTAGTATTTTTATAATTCTATTTTTTTTAAAAATAATTGAATTTTTTTTTTCTATTTATATTATTTTTCCTTAAAAAAAAAAGAAAAATTCACTTTTCATTAACCGTCTACAATCACAAGCGCTAGCTAGAGTCAACTTTTGAATTTAATAGGTTTAGAACGGTTTGAAGTGGTTTAGAACGGTTTGAAGTGATTGTTGCAAAACAACGGTTGTTTGCCTTTTGCAACAATCACAAAAAACACTATAAACCGCTTCAAATCGCTTTCAATCTCCAAAATCCAAAAGTTGGTTTCAGTTAACGTTTACAGTTGACTGGTTCTCCCGTTATCACCCGCAAATGCTAAAGAGATTGTACAAATCACTAGTTGCCACATAAAAGTTATAAATCCTTATGAATGCAAAGTCTGGATCTTATCTCAAATTGATTAAAGCCAGTGGGGTATACTAAACTATGCTATTTCGATTTGATACCTAGAACTTTGTCGTCTACGTAAAATCCCACTATTACGGAGTTATATTCATTTTGACCCTTGTAAAAATGTTTTTGTGTTGTCCAGGTCCATTATTCTACAGAGGATGGTACCATTTCTTCTACCAGTATAACCCAAACGCAGCCGTATGGGGTGACATTGTTTGGGGTCATGCCGTGTCTAAGGACCTAATCCATTGGGTTCATTTACCCATAGCCATGGTTGCTGACCAATGGTATGATGCCAATGGTAGTGACAAACCAACTCTTCATCGCTTGGATGAAACCGAAACCCCGGTGGCAATTTGGATCCAATATCTTTCAAACCTATTATATGAATAATCTTTAGCTCAATATGAAGCTTTTGCGGTTATTAGCGGTTGTTGGTCTTTTGCAACAATCACCAAAAATGCTATAAACCGTTTCAAATCGCTCTGAATCTCTAAAATTCAAAAGCTGGTTTCAGCTAGCGTTTGCGGTTGCGGGCAATTGCGAGAGGATAAAAAATATTTTTTTTCTAGAAAAATATATAAATATAAAAATAAAATATTCAGTTAATATTTTAAATTAAAATAATTGAAATGCCAAAATATTTATATTATAAAGTTTCCAAAAAATATTCTTTAGTTTTTTAAATTTAATAGTACTGTTTTATCAATAAAAATTTTATATTTATTATAAAAATATGATTTTAATATTTTCATAATTATATAAATATAAATATTGTTAATTTATTAGTTAACTGATGTTGCATTTCATAATAAATCAGTCATAAATATCCCGCAAACGCAACAATTTTTAACCGTTAAACCAGTCTTCTAAATTTCCTAATAACTCTTAAAACCGTAGTCTCCCGCATCCGCAAACACCCGCAACCGCAACCACTGCGTTGTAACCAGTCAGGCCCTTTGATACACCCTAAATTGGGAAGGATCACTCAGCCGGACTGAATGGATAAGAACTTGCCAAAAGGAAGAACTGGTGAATTGAACGGTGACATAGAGGGTTGCGGATGGCCCAATGATACTACCAGACTTCGATCGTTGCCGGATGTGACGCACCGGTCCAACAAAAGAAGGATCAAAACTTGGAGATAACCTCACCAAGAAACTAAGAAATGTTTTACAAAGAACAAAGAGAGATAAACCTATAAAAAGGGAAAAAAATCTGATTTATTTCATGGCTCTTAAACCTTATTTATAGGATTACAAGTTGTAGAAATCCAAAGATGAATGTGCTAAAAACAAAACATTGAAAATAAGTACAAATACTTGACTAAATAAAATATTTGACTGAAACTTAGACTGCCTCTTGATATAGCCATGACAAGGACATATTTGTTGACTTCCTCTTGGTATTCTTGATGAGAATGGGCTTAAAATAGACTGAGGAAAGGACTGGTCAAACTTGGAGTAAAACTGACTCAAATTGAATTTGTTATGAATTTTTCTTTAGGCTGAAAAATGCTCATTTGTCTAGCAACTAAACCAACTCCATCTTTAGTGTCACTTAGCTCGCTCAACTCCAAATAAGTATTATTTAGCTTACTTATCTCTTCCAGCTCAGATATGTAAGAGCATCTTTAACCCTTGTTGCTTAGAGAGTTGCTTAGAGGGAGAAGATTGCTTATTTTGAAGAGAGAGAATGTGAAAAGTGCTTAATTCTTTCTTCAAAATAAGCAACTCTCTCTCCGTAAGCAACTCTCTAAGCAACATGAGTTAAAGGTGCTCTAAGTGTCAATCCACATTTAAATATGGAAATGTCTGAATTCGTGAGAACTGAATATCACCTGATTTGTAAATAGCATAACTCCCATATCTGAACTAAGTTTGCTCGGATTCTTTTTCGAGAGGTTATGTAATTGAGTTGAACACATTTTCTAAGTGATTTCATATATAGAAGTCTCGTGGTTTGGAAGATATGAGTCAAATAATAAACATATATATTTACTGCTTCTCATGACAAGCCATATATATCTATTTTGTCCGGTGCGCTACTCCACGGCACATCACCCTTAATATAATGCGTTTAGATAGATTATTGCGACTTTGTCCAAAAAAAAATAGATTAGTGCGACAAGAATATATCCATTATCTTGGTTCGATTTCATGGTTAGTCATCTTCGTTTCTTTCCTTCTAATTATGGTCTGTAACTTCTATACGCTAAATGTCGAAAGTTATTTTGAAGTTATGTTAGAGTGGGGCAACTCGCCGGCCTAGGAAGTTATTTTGAAATTAGTTTAAATTTGGTAAAGGAGGACCATCACCAGAAGAAAAATAGTAATAAGCGCAGAGTTATCAGATTGAGTTGGTTATGAAATTGATGGTGTAACTTGGTGGCTACTACTCACTCACAAGTTGCTCTAACTCTGAGAACGATACATTGCTTCAGATTGAGGCCATAATCATTTGAAAAGCTGTCTTTGCTGTCTCTCTAATTTTCACGTCATGTATGTAGGACCCGAGTACACCTTTACTATTTGTCAAGTTGATTATAGTGTGATTTGCACGTTACTGCTCAGATTAGACGCACTACAATACTGTTTTGATTATAAAATATGGATAGATCAAACAATAGAATGTATCCACACAAAACTAAATGATAACCAATAGTTATAAAAATGATAAATAATCAACTGAACAACAGCAAAACTATGTCGGAAATTTAAGTTCACATGTGCATCTTTAGGTATCTGTTTTCATTTTTTTTAATCATTGTTTTGCCATTACTAGTACACACTTCTTGTTCGAATATTACTATTTCACTTCTCTAAAAACGTTTACTATTTTTGTGAATGATGCATTACGTGTTTACCGTCTAAGAATTCATAATCATACCAAACCGAAAATTATTAGTCCCAGACCCTGTCGATTTGTAGTTTCGGGATTAGCATAATTGCTAATCAGAATAAAATGCATAACAGTAATCCTAATCACGTGCTTTAACGTTGGTATCATGTGTCTGTCACGGTTCGCTTCATGTGCAAGAATAAATACAAAAGTGAAAAAAATAAAGAAAATATTCAGATCTCGCAGCCTTTCAGTCTTCACACCTGAGCCAGTCTGGATCCGTCTGTACAACACCCTCCATGTGTTTTTTATTCTTGTGCTATGGCCAGTGGAGTTAATGCAGAAAAAGATGAAACACAAATTAGAACTTATCCTTTTTAATTTTTTTTAACAACAAACTAGAACTTGTCCTTTATGAGTCTTAGTTTTTAAAAAGATTACAAAAGAGCATCCACATTAATGAACCTCCTCTTTAGGTTCATTGAGTCATTTTTTTATTATTAAAAATTTTCTTTTTTTTTTTTGATTTTTTCTTTTTTTAATAAAAAAAAAAAATCTAGACCAATCCCGAGCCGCCACGTGTTGAACCTCAAGAGAGAGGGGTTTACCGGGGTGAACTTTAAAAAAAAGAGGTTTATATGTTTTTATTATTTTATTATTATTTTTTCTTGATTTTCGTGTGAACTCCCCCATTAACCTTCAATGCGGTGCTCTAATAATAGATGCAAATTTTGCATTTTTCATTGATCAAATTTCAAATCTATAATATTTGTAAAATTGAAAAAAAAAATGGAACCGATTTTCTCTCAAGAAAATTATGTTAGTGATTTACTAATAAAAATACTGAAATGTTTCTTCTATTTACTGAGGTGTTCTTTTGCACAGAAGAATTAACTTATTGTCCACATAATGACAGAAAAATATACATAATTTCCTGCTCTGAATAACAAAATATCCACAATTATTTCCTCAGTGGGTTGCAATATTTATTTGTATATGCCAACTTTAAGATAGTGTTTACATATTTATGTATGTCATGGGCCAACGAACCTAACAGCCGTTACTTACCTCCGTCTTTCGTGGCGCCAATAAAGTAGAATACCAACGTTACCGGTTTGAACCCATCGTGGACAGCGAATTTGGTTTTGTACCGGTTTCACTTGAGTTCAATTGGTTAAAATTAAATTTTATCCAATCAAGTTTTGGTTTTTAATTTTTATTTTTGTAAAAACCATTTGATTTGCCAATCAAGATTTTTTAAAAATGGATTCCCTAAATTTTAAGGAAACTAGTTTTTCAAAATTCAACCAATTGATGAAGAAAAACCAAAATCTAACTTCTGTGAGCTTTTAGTAAAAAAAACGAATTTTATTTCTTTTTTATAGAAAATAGTCAAATACTATAATTATTTAATTAATAAGTAAATAAATAGTATTGCATAAAGAGAATTTTTGCATACAAGTTTTTGTAGATAAGATATCATTTAAACAAAAATGTAAAATAATTATTTGTGTGTTATATCTGTAAAACCAAAACCGAAAACTTAAAAACAAAAAAAAACTAAAATCTAAAACCAAAAACTATTTCAAACAATCATCACCTAAACTTTTCGTGGGTAAAATAGGATTAAAGTGGTGTCCAAGTTTAATCGTTGGTCTGGTTCAACCTGAAACGGTTTATATAAACCGATGCAGTTAGAACCGGTGAGTTTCTTAGTCCCCGTTATCTCCGCACTATAAAAACAAACCACTCTTCTTCATTTCCTCCTCAAGTCGTAACCGTTCAAAACTTCCTCTCTCTCTCTCTACTAAGCTACTTATCGAAGATGCGAGAGATTCTTCACATCCAAGGCGGACAATGCGGGAACCAGATCGGCGCTAAGTTCTGGGAAGTAGTCTGCGCCGAGCACGGGATCGATTCGACGGGAAGGTACCAAGGAGAGAGCGATTTGCAACTCGAACGAGTCAATGTGTACTACAACGAAGCGAGTTGCGGGAGGTTCGTCCCACGCGCCGTACTGATGGATCTTGAGCCGGGGACTATGGACAGTGTCAGATCGGGTCCGTACGGTCAGATCTTCCGTCCTGATAATTTTGTTTTCGGCCAATCCGGCGCTGGTAACAACTGGGCGAAAGGTCATTATACGGAAGGTGCTGAGCTGATTGATTCGGTTCTCGATGTTGTTAGAAAAGAGGCTGAGAACTGTGACTGCTTGCAAGGTTCGAATCCTTTCTCTTTGATCTCATCAATGTTAGTTAGGTAACGGTTACTTTGATTTTTTTTAGTTTTAAGAATTATAACCAAACCATACCAAAAGTCCATACCGAGCTAACTGAACTAACCAAATTTTATACCGAACTAACCGAATTTAATCGAAGTTAAGCAAGTGTATCCAAAATTTTAACAAAATTAAATAAAATATAACCAAAATAATAAAATTAGGTTAGATTTTCAAAAATCGAACTAACCAAATATCAAACCGAACTAACCGAATTTGAAAGTGTATCCAAAGTCCTAACAAAATTAAATAAATTATAACCAAAATAATAAAATTAGGTAAGATTTTCAAAAATCGAACTAACCAAATATCAAACCGAACTAACCGAATTTGAACGAAATTAAGTTGAGTGTATCCAAAATTTTAACAAAATTCAATAAAAATATAACCGAAATAATGAACATAGGTAAGATTTTCAAAATTCGAACTAACCAATACGGAATAATTTTATTTCGAGTTAATTCGGTAAGATTTATGTTGAACCGAACTAACTGAAAACTAAACTACCAATTATCTAAACTACCCGAATCCGCAGGCATAAACTATTAGTAGTAATTCACTTGATGTGCTCACTTAGGATTGTGATTTATATTTGTGTTCATGTGAATGATCTTTTTCAGGATTTCAAGTGTGTCATTCATTGGGAGGTGGAACTGGATCTGGTATGGGGACTTTGTTGATCTCCAAGATTAGGGAAGAGTACCCTGACCGGATGATGTTGACGTTCTCTGTTTTCCCGTCGCCTAAAGTGTCTGACACTGTTGTTGAGCCTTACAATGCAACTCTTTCCGTCCATCAGCTTGTGGAGAATGCAGATGAGTGTATGGTTCTTGATAACGAAGCTCTCTATGACATTTGCTTCAGAACTCTTAAGCTCACCACTCCTAGCTGTAAGCTTCTCTTCTTTATATTATTCATTTGCTTCAGATACGTTGTGAGTTTCTCAACTTCCAAAGAAAAAAAAAATCAGAAAAATTAAGAGTATCTCAATGAGAGACTTGTAGATAGAGATACTCTTGTGAAATGTATTATTTTTAAAGTGGTTTAAAAGTTTTATATTTAAATGATTAACTGAAAATTATTAAAATGCTACTATTAAATAGTCTAGAGACTCACCTTAGATACTTTTGCAATGGGGCTGCTCTAGTAGAATTGAATAGTACTCTTGTCTCATGCATTAATTGTCTGCAAGGAGTATTTTTCACACTATTTATTAATCCTCGTGTCTTGTTGCTGGTTTCACTGTTCTAAATGGACTTGTTTGTTTGTTTTTTGTTCAGTTGGAGACTTGAACCATCTCATCTCTGCGACCATGAGTGGTGTCACTTGCTGTCTCCGTTTCCCTGGTCAGCTAAACTCTGACCTGCGTAAGCTTGCAGTGAACTTAATCCCATTCCCACGTCTCCACTTCTTCATGGTCGGATTCGCACCTCTCACATCTCGTGGATCACAGCAATACCGAGCCTTAACCGTCCCTGAGCTCACCCAACAGATGTGGGATGCTAAGAACATGATGTGCGCAGCTGACCCGCGCCACGGCAGGTACTTGACTGCTTCAGCCATGTTCAGAGGCAAAATGAGCACCAAAGAAGTAGACGAGCAGATGATCAACGTTCAGAACAAGAACTCATCTTACTTCGTCGAGTGGATCCCCAACAACGTGAAGTCAACAGTCTGTGACATTCCACCAACTGGTCTGAAAATGGCTTCCACTTTCATCGGGAACTCGACATCTATCCAGGAGATGTTCAGGCGTGTGAGCGAGCAGTTCACTGCCATGTTCAGAAGGAAAGCTTTCTTACATTGGTACACAGGTGAAGGAATGGACGAGATGGAGTTCACGGAGGCAGAGAGCAACATGAACGATTTGGTGTCGGAGTATCAACAGTACCAAGACGCAACTGCTGATGATGAAGAAGGGTATGAGTATGAAGAAGATGAAGAGGAAGTGCAGGAGGAGCAATGACGGTAAAAGAAGAGAAAACCTCTTGTAGCTCGTGTGTGTGTTTTTTCTATTAGTGTCTTTTTTTTTTATCTCATGTTGATTGGCTTTGTTTTTCTTTTATTTGGTTTTGTTTTTCTTGTATTACATTTGGGTATGTGTGATGGTGTTTTTAGGATTAGATCTTAGGAAAAATATGTGTTTATATAAGTGTTTTCGAGTGAATGAATTTGAGTTATTGTTTGTTTGTTCTCTCCTAAACGTTTTGTGGTAATATAATTTCTCGTCTTGTGGATTCCCTGTGTGCAAGACCTTTGTTTTTATCCCATATCGCCTTTTCAACTTAAAATTCAACTCCGATTAAGGAGGAGCCTTGGTCTAAAATGGCATGTTGAAGAGTAGTACACTTGGTTAGAACTAATCGAGCTTGTTAGTTCTTACTCTGCTGTGTTATGTAAGGTCTGTTTTGGGTTATGAGATCATGAGGAGCTACCAACATGTGTACTTTCTCTCATGATTATATTAGTGATTTGTTGGGTGTAGATGTTGTGAGACGTAGGAACATTCATTCCAAAATCTTGGACTCATAATTGGATTGTTGCCAACTATCAGCTTGGATGTGTGGGAGGTAAACCAACTCATCGTTTCCTTTATACTCCCAAGTAACATTTAGAAACAAAAAGAAGTTTTCAATCTTCTAATTTTCGTGCCTTGCTTAACAAGAACTCTTATTATCTAACTACAAGATAAAAACCAGTTTCAGCTTTGACAACTTAGAGCATGAACATCCCTAGATCTAAAGGGGGTTTTTTAAATTGTTTGGGGGTCCCACTCACATGTGGGTCCCCACAAAAAAATTAAATTCGGTTCTAGAAAATCTGAAATAAGGATTGTTTGTTGAGGGTTTTTTGTACCATTCGTGAACCACACTAACAAGTGACAGTCTTAGATTTTAATTTTGTTTTTAAGTCAAACAAAAAGCAAAAAAAATTTTAAAGAAATTTTGTAAAGATTTATGCGATTAACATGGTCTTAGAGCACCATTAACCCACAAGAGCTAATGGACCTTTTTTTTTTGTCTGATTTTTTTTTTAAATAAGATCATCCGCGGATCGGCACGTGTTAGTGAATCCACGAATATCACAAGAATTAGCTCTTGTACACAAGGAAGAAATTTTTTTTTTTTAAAAAAGGTGTGGGTCCCACCTTTTAAGAAAGAAGTGGATTAATGGTGTTGTTAGTGTTCCATTGTTCTAGAAGACTCATGAGTGCTTGTTAATTTGGGTGAAATATTTGGTTAAGACTTTCCCTTGTTTCTTTAGTTCTCTTTCTATCAGTCTGACCACCAAGTAGCAAGCATTCAAATATTAAAGTAAGAATTGTGTATTTGAAAATTACGAAAGACATGATATTTTTTCCTCAAATTATAGTTTTTATGTTGGTATCTGGAATAACTGCAATGTTGACAATCTAGCACATAATTCTTTTAGTCACAATTGGATTATATTTGATCCACTGCAATCTTGATAATTCTCAACTTCTACTATCACGATACAAGATCATTTATATAAACATGGCTCCCTGTACCTGATCATGAAGACATAACAAAAAATATATAAAAGAGAGAAGATTTGGCTTTTTGTTACAGCTTAATTGCTACATAATCAAATCATTAAAAACCAAAAAGCTGAATATTCATGGTACACAAAAAAATATAAAGTAAAAAAAAAGCGAGGGAAAAAGGAGACAATTGTGTACCGAGAGATTTATGGTCTGGAGCATTGGGAGCCTTGAATAACAAAAGAAGAAGAAAAAAAACATATAATTACACAATCCAATTTAGTATAAACCGAATCTTTACAGTAAATAATTTCTCTGTAAAAAACTGTATTGACTATAACAAATTGTAAAAAGAAACAACTTAAATGTCAAGATTTACCAAAGAATCTGTAGTAGAAGCTGGAATGAGATTATGGCACGTTTTATCACATGGATATGGGCAACCTATTTCTTTCACATCATCTCCTCTCCCAAAATACCAATCTCCGACCGTCTCAGCAATGGTCTGAAACCGAATACGCGGTTTAAAACTACTGTAAACCGGAATCAAAAACTATGAACAAAGTTCTCGGTTTAGTATATACCTTATTGTGGATCCTCGGTGAAATGGGAGAGAGCCAAGTTTCCTGTAAAGCACTCTGACAATGATCAAAGCATGAGTTTATAAACATTCCTCCTCTCGTAGTATTTCTGAAGAAATTCATTAATGCTCCTAACATATCTGTCCTAAACCCTGCAAATGAAAAAAAAAAACGTTTGGTTTAGTTCTAATTTCTACCGGTTCTTTTATTTAACTCAAACCAGTTGAATTTGAACCTTGAAGTGCATCGAGCTGGTGTGGATTACATGCTGTCACATTAACCTTGCAACGGTTCCAACGCCCGGTCGGGTCAGCAGAAGGTGGTACCAGCCCATGATGGAACTGTTTAACAAGTGTAAAAAAGAATAATAAATCAGCTTAGAAATAAAACTAACAAAAACCAAACTGGCTTAATAAAATCGTTACAGACTAAACAGAGTAGAGAAAGAAACCTGGAATACATCGTAGGCTGAATTTAAGATGAACATTGGCGTTTTGATAAAACGCAATGCATATTGAGGGAAAAAACACTGCATAATTCAAATATTATAATGTAACTTAGAGATTTATATAAGTAATTTCATAAGAAGAGTTAATATATGGTTAAGATTTGAGATTGTACCAAAGATGGTTCAGGATAAAACGCACGTGTGCAATTTGGATCGAGGTTTTTTTGTACACCCTGAAAAGATTGTTCCTCAAATAAAATCAGTAAATGTGGGGAGCAAGAGAGAAATTTTAAAACTTGATAGCAAGAGTTTAGATCTCGAGTATAGTATGTACCTGTAGAGACACAAGCTGAGTGTAGAAAGATCTCATTGTTCGGTTTGATGCTACATCAATTCTGTTAAACCAATTCAAACCATATATGTTGGTAAACCATCCGGTTACCGTATAAACCAGAGATCAAAAGATTTTTGATAAAGAAAACTTACGCGTCAAGAAAGAACCCAGCGTCGCTCATGCACTTAACGTTTGCGGTTTTTGGCAGATAGCTCGTGAAGTTATCACAATGTAAGAATGTAGATAAACCACCAGCTGAACAGCCGGTCAGAAGAGCCTGCGCACCAGTTAACCGGTTTAGTACCAATTGATTAGTAATACAGAGTCTACCAAACTAAACCGAGAACCAATAAATTATTTACCTTATTGGCTTTTGCTAAACCTTTGGGTAGAAGGTCAAGAATGATGGCATTCCATATACGTTGTCCTCTGAAATAAAGCATTGACGTCTGTCATTTCATTCGATTAGTAAAATATCAGTAACTAAACACTCACAAACCATATCGTTTGGTACGTTTTCCGGTTATTGAAAGCGGTTAAATAAAGAAAAAAGTGGTTTGGATAGAGAAACGAGTTGTTTTTTTTTACCCCGTTGCTAATTTGTCTATCTCCCCCAAACGAAGCTCCATCGCAATACCTCAGCCTAACTCTGTTCCAGTTGTAAAAATCTGATTTTACAAAAGTTATGCATGCATGTTAATCCAACCAATGTGCAGCTAATACTTACTAAACTACAAAAAAAAAAAATATAATAATAGTAATGTGTGTTTATGCAAGTGAATGTGAATGATGTTTCAATAAAGCAACAGCGAATTTTGACTCGTGACAGACTAGAACTGGACTTCACATGTCTATATATGAAGTTGACAGTTTTAGCCTCCTCGATGTAGATTTAAGCCTGAGTAAAATAGGGTAAGTATGTAATTTGACATATGTCGACCAGGTTTTGATCGACTTGTGCTCGTAAGGAAGGAGACAAAGACAAAAGCAAATAAGGTGTGCAAAGCCATAACTTAATTAATAGAAGAGAAAAGAGCCAAGACTATTGTTTCTATGTGTATATTCTAGTAAAAAGCTGAAACTTAAACAGAAACACTTGAACCGTCACGTGAAAGAGAGACCTAAACCAACAAGCAAGCATGTTCACGTAATAAATTATTTAATATATTAATATAATAGTATAATCTGTTTTCAAGAAATTAAATCAAGAAGGACCTGGATTTAAAGAAGCGTTATTGCTCAAGATTCCAGTGAAGACGGCGGTTTTGGTCATAAAACGTGTCGAGCCTCGATGGGTCTTTGATCTATCCACGCATGATGCCATATCATTGCACCATCCTCCTCCCTATCACCACCTTTATTATATTAATATATAAATAATTGCAATACAAAGAAAAGAAATGCTTGAAAAATGAAAAAAAAAACAATGATTTTGGGATTTCTTTTTTACAGTTGTACTAGTAATTACTTGCAGGCAAATAAATCGTCGATTGAATGAAGTAAATGCTAACAAAACAAATAAATAAATGTGTTCTCTGTCATAATTCTGTTTCGGGTAAAAGAAAAGAAGTAGAGAATGTTATAAATGCGCGTCATAAAGTGAAAGGTGTGAGACATGATCCAACTAGCTCAAGACACTATGATGCTCTAAAGTTATAAAATGGCGTCGTAATAGTTTTTGTTCATGGATATGTCTTTTACTTGGTCCAAACAAAAGAACTCTTTTTTTTTCCGAACACAATGTCTCAACTCTTTCTATAAGTGTCCAGATAGTAGAAATCGATTACCAGCTTCGACTTTTTATAGGATACTACAGAGCGACTTGGTTCTAAGAGCAATATTATCGCGACAGAAAATGAGGTGCTTAGGCATTAGGGCCCCACTAAAAGACAAAGTTCCGACGTCTGTAAGTGTTAAATAAGTGTTCGGCTTTGGTTGTTGCTTCAACTATTTGTGAGTTCCATTGACATGTTGCTGTCCACGGTTGGTTATTTTTAATTTTCTTTTTAATCCAGAAAAAAAATTTAAGCATTTTTTTTTAGTTCCACGATAATACTATTCTAATCTCTTGACAAGGTTTGATAATGAGTTGAAATATTTTACTTAAAAACTTAATTACTACTCTCTCCGTTTCAAATTAATTGTCATTCTAGAGGAAAAATTTCGTTTCAAAATAAGTATCGTTTTAGAATTTCGAGACAAAATTTATTAGTTTATATGATATTCTATTTTTCTATTGGTTGAAAAGTGGTTAGGTGTATAAGTAATTGTGTTTTTTCTTGAAAATATGTAAAATTAAATGTTTTCTTAATCTGTGTGTAAAAACGTATAATGACAATTAAAATGAAAAGGAGGGAGTATTTTCTAGATAGCTAGTTAGCAGTAACAAAAACTCTGTAAACACCCGAGTTTTGTTTCATATGCTAGCTAGCTGGATTCAATTATTTTGCCTACTCATGGAGTTGGTTACAACAGCAACCCTTTACGCAATGAACTAAATCAAGCAATGACCAATAAAAGAAAAATACAGTTTCAATTACCAAATGGCTGTCTGATCAATTTATTCGCATCTAATGATAGATTGATTATTTCTTTAGATATTAGTATTTAATAATCACAACCATTTTACGAATATAAAAAATATATTATATGTGTGAATCTTTTTAAATTAGTTAAAGTAAATATTTAAATTACCTCAAACTGCAAAAGCCAATTGTCTGATCCAGCACCGAAGCCTCTGTCCAAGTGATACGCTGGTAAGCTACCGTCCAAGCAAACTACAAAAGAAGTATAAAAAGCAAAGCATATAAATCCAAATGTAAGAAAAAAAAAAGAATTAATCACCAAAACGTTAGTCAGTAGGCAGCAAGTAGGGTGGTTTATTTTGGATGATTTGCGTGAGTTGCGTCGTCATATTGTACATAGGTTCGAAGTATGTAATGTCTAGCGGTTAAAAACGACTAGTAAACTCATCGACTAAATATCATATTATCAATATTATTGTAATTAACCAGGTAAATACTGTGCTTAAAAAAAGAAACAGGTAAATGTTATTGTAATTAACCAGGTAAATACTGTATTTAAAAAAAAAAATCCAGGTAAATATTATTTTGTGTTATATAGACGAAAAATGATTCGGTTAAAGAAAAAGAAAAGGCGACAAAAAAAGAAAGGAGGAAGACATACAAGCACCAAGAGCAGCGGCTCCTCGAACTAGTGTCATGTTAACACGCCGCCCTGTGTCGCCGGAAACAAGCGGTGGAGATACGGCTACGTAAAGGAGAAGAACCACCGCCGCCGTTTTATAGAAAAGCCGCGTAGTCTTCATTGTTTCACTTTTTTCTACGCTTCAATGGTGAGTGAAGGCGAAAGGGCGATGAAAACGGTGGCGTGAAAACTAGGCCTGTCTTTTTGTTATATTATAAGATTAGATGATAGAGATTTTACATAAATGTATGGAAAGTAATTTGGAGAAGAAGAAAGGGAAAGGAGAGACCAAGTGGGCAAGAGGTAAGAGGTAGAGAGAGATTTATGATTCTGATAGGCACAAAGAAACTTTCGACATCTTGGAGAAAGATGGATTGTTGTAAATCTCATATATATAATTGTACATAGATACATATGCATTCACATTTCATGGAGAGAGAACATATTTTCCACATGTATGTGTGTAAAGAGAAACATCTGACAAAAAATTAAACTATTTTACCTTTTTGGGTTATTATTTACAGAATAAATCTCACTAACGATTTGTTGCACAGAAAAAAATTTCTTTCTAAAGATAAAGTCTACAGTTTATCTTTCATTTAAAAGAAAAACAATAAAAATAACTTATTGAATATAGGGACCTTTGTATATATGAGATGTTTTAGGTTCTAATTTTTATTTTTTGTAAACAAAAAGGTGTATGAATCTTCGACCTAATCCTATACATCCGGGATCGGCTGGCATAAATATCAATAACATGGGATAAAGCATTTCTCCCCAACGAGAATCGAACTATGGATGCAATAGAACCTACTCCTATCACCATATCCTGGACTAAAACAGATTTGTAAATCATTGTTTTATACAATTTTTTTTTTTTTTTAAAACGGGTCCTAGCTTAAACTAGAAAAACTAAAAAAATAGAATAGCTTTGTGCAAATGCACCTTCCGCACATGTCCGCTGCCTATCACTAAATCAATTGTCCGACGTCGGTTTCTTACTATGAAGTAACATTTCCTAATTTTGTTATTTTACTAGTCAACATTTCCTAGTTTTGTTTTTTTTGCACTAGTTAACGATTACATTCCTATTCGTGTAATTCAAGTGTTGGTCACCATCTGGTTTATGTAAAACTGATATCTATATACTTGTGTTGAAAAAACTCTTAGAGCATGCCCATCAGTGATATTGGGCAGACACGAATTCCTAGGCACGTTTTTAATTTTTTTTTCTTTTTGACTTTTTCAAAAAAAAAAAAAAATTGGCGAATCACGGCCGCCACGTGACGAACCCGTGACGATCCGGATTCACCACGACGAACTCACGCGAGCCGGATTCACCACTTTTCCCCTCGAAAAACTTGTGAACTCCTCTTAAAAATTCCTAATGGGCATGCTCTTACTTCCACATGAGAGTTAAGTTTAGTTATGTGAAGACAGTAAACTAGACATCATAGAGCGTAGAGGGACAAACAAATTATAAATGAGAATACTTATCTTATATTTTTGAGAAATAATGCCAAGTATGGTGATGGGGTCATGGACTCATGAAGTGGGTCACCAGCCGATGGATTCGACTCGAAAATCAACCTTGATAGGTGCTTTCTGGTTTAGGTTCACCGAAACTTCTACTATATCTCTTTAGACAAAAAAATATATACGAAAGATCATTGAAATTTGGTTACAGATGTTATACGGGGATACATGATATAATTATATTTATAAACATTAACTTACATTGATTAACTATATAAATATATTTTTTGGTTAACTTAACCAAAATTATTAATTTTTTTTGTTTTTATAAAAGGCATGTATATAGTATTATTTGTGAATGTAAAATTTTGGTTAGTCATAGAAAGAAAAGTTTGATAGTTATGGTTGTTAGCCATTATGATGAGCTGGGTTTGGTCCTAACGGTCCTCCCTTGTTGTCCAACCGCAGATGATTGTTTTCTATCCCTTTGAAGTGAAGCTACCAAAATGTATCTAAAAAAAACAAAAATCGTTTTCTTTTAATGTCTAGACATTTTCTCCATACGAATAAATTTAACAGAGCCTTTCGATTTAAAACAACATTGTTAGAAAAAAAAACTCAGACCTCTTCGGTCTACAGTAGAACCTCTATAAATTAATACTCAATAATATACACTAAATATCTCTATAAATTAATATAATTTTATAGTTTCAAATTGAGTTTTTGGTTCAGTTAGTATATCTATAAATTAATATTTCTCTAAATTAATAAAAAAATAAAATTTTGGTATAGTCACAACATTATTAATTTATAAAGGTTTCATGTAGATTGATTTCACTAGGATGGTTCAATGACTCCTTAAACTCTTGTACGTTTGTGAGTAAGTTTGTTTCCAGATGATGAACCAGGCCACATATAGATCGTGGGCTTGCTTTACAATTCAATCAATTATTGGGCCTTTTAAAAATTTCTTAACCAGATCACATTACGGCCTGCAAAGTATTAACCGAACCGAACCAAAACATTGTCGATCATCATCAAATCGATTTTGAATCGGATTGAAAGAAAAAGAAATAGAACAAACCCACACACACTCTCAGAACACACGGTGGCTCTTGGGTTTATCGGAGAAAAAAATTAGGGTTTACTCTCACCGTCGAATGGGTACGTCGGTGCAGGTTTCTCCACTCTCCGGAGTATACAACGAGAATCCACTCTCCTACTTAGTCTCCATTGATGGATTCAACTTCCTCCTCGACTGTGGCTGGAACGACCTCTTTGACCCTTCTCTCCTCGAACCCCTCTCCAGGTTCCTCTCCTCTTTCTCTTGCACTCCGAAAGATTCAATCTTTTTCAGTTTCAAAAAAAAAGGATTCAATTTTTTTTTTTTTTTTTTTGGATTCAGGGTTGCTTCTACTATAGATGCGGTTTTGCTTACTCATCCAGATACGCTTCACCTTGGTGCTCTTCCTTATGCTATGAAGAAGCTTGGACTCTCTGCTCCTGTTTACGCCACTGAGCCTGTTCATAGATTAGGTCTACTCACTATGTATGATCAGTTTCTATCCAGAAAGGTGATGATGCTTGATTGATTTGCATACTTTATTGTTTTTTGCGTTATGTTCATTTTTCTTGTTGTGCTTATATGATATGAGCTTACTGTTTGTTTGCAGCAAGTCTCTGACTTTGATCTGTTTACGCTGGATGATATTGATTCTGCTTTCCAGAATGTCATCAGATTGACTTACTCTCAGAATTACCATCTTTCTGGTAATGTAATTTCAGTAATTTATAGTCGTTAATAGCTAACCTGGAATAATGACACTTACCTCAAAGAAGTTCCATCCAATGCTCTAAAAATCGCTAGGCTGTGATTAGGCGTTTTATAGAGGATTATTGTTTATGGGGGCGATTTTTTGAACGCCAAGACCGATTTTATAAAAAATCGGTTTGAAAAATCGCTTTATTCATACCAGTTTTGCCGACTAGGCGGGCGCATTATCTATGCCTCACATATCAGGAATGTGTTTATTAGGATGCCTCAGAAGTTTTATCTTTTCCCTATTAGGAAAGGGAGAGGGTATCGTAATTGCGCCTCATGTTGCTGGACATATGCTGGGAGGTAGTATTTGGAAGATAACAAAGGATGGGGAAGAGGTTGTATATGCTGTTGACTACAATCATCGGAAAGAAAGGTATACATTTTCAGCTTTCACCTGATGTGGAGTTCGATTTTTGGTTTTTTAACTAATAATAAAGAAGCAAGATCGTGATACTGAGTTGTACATTTTAATTCAGGCATTTAAACGGAACTGTTTTACAGTCTTTTGTTCGACCTGCTGTTCTGATTACCGATGCGTACAATGCTCTTTATACCAATCAAACCCAAAGCCATCACAGGGACACTGAATTTCTAGGTTGGCTTTTAGCTCAATATGTGTTATATCTTTCTCTTTTGTGTTATTAAGAAAACTCTGATTCTAACTGCCATAATCACGTGTGCACGTCCACATTTATTATTCAGATACCATTTCAAAACATTTGGAAGTTGGGGGAAATGTTTTATTACCAGTAGACACTGCAGGTCGAGTCCTGGAGCTTCTCTTGATACTTGAACAGGTGGGAGGTTCGATTTTAAATGTACTTTGTTTTCATTTTAATCCTTTTGGGTATTTGTATGTAGAGACTGAATATTGATCAAACCTGCAGCATTGGTCACAGAGAGCTTTTAGCTTTCCCATTTACTTTCTGACATATGTGTCATCTAGCACAATTGACTATGTTAAGAGCTTCCTCGAGTGGATGAGTGACTCCATTTCAAAGTCCTTTGAGACTTCACGTGATAACGCCTTTCTATTGAGGTAGTTTTTTCTGAAAAGTGTCTTATATGTGTCGTTCGCATACAACAACGGAAGAGATTAAATGTAATTCACATACTTTCAGGCATGTCACTCTCTTGATAAACAAGACTGATCTCGATAATGCTCCACCTGGTCCAAAGGTTGGTTTATAAATAACTCACGCATGTTTTGTCGTATTTAGAACATGGTGGGTTGGATTTGATATTTTGTGTTCTTTCTCCTCCGGAGTTCTTTCTACATTATTCTTATTAATATTTTTAGTAACTGAACCTGCTTATATAGGTTGTTCTTGCGTCCATGGCTAGTCTTGAAGCTGGTTTTGCTCGAGATATATTCGTGGAATGGGCCAATGATCCCAGAAATTTAGTCCTCTTTACTGAAACAGGCCAGGTACTTTTTTAGACCCGTTACTAGTTGATGATTCAAATGTACGGCATTGTTGTAAAGAGATGATGGTAGTTTCCTCCAGTGCTGGCCAGCTAGTTAATTGGATGTAGAATCATGATAAATGGGAATCTTTTTTTTGTGTGTGTTTTCTGACTCGAATGAGAGCTCACCCAAATAATGTCTCTTATTGAGTGTGAATATTTCACCACTAATGTGTACAATAGGCAGAGATTGAATAACTTTAAGCACACTTTTAAGCATAGGATAAATCACATGATAATCTCCAATCGACCTGGCTTGCACCTTTAGGATAATCTCCATGGATTTCAGTCTTGCATTCAACAACGAGTGGCATCCCTTCCTTAAAACTAGAAAAGATTAAGGGTTTTTATAGGCTCATATTTGTGTAATTGACATCACTGTGCACAAACTGTTTAATTGACCATATCATTCCCTTAAACTGAACGGAAGAGGAGTTTGAAATAGCGTACCTCATTTTTTCTTTCCGTTCGTTTTGTCAGGTGAGATGTCATTGTTTAATTTTTGTTGTCATGTGTTTCTGTTTGCAGTTTGGCACTTTAGCTCGTATGCTTCAGTCAGCCCCACCTCCTAAATTTGTTAAAGTCACCATGTCTAAGAGGGTTCCTTTGGCTGGGGAAGAGTTGATTGCATATGAAGAGGAGCAAAACAGACTGAAGAGAGAGGAAGCCTTGCGAGCTAGCCTCGTCAAAGAGGAGGAAACAAAAGCTTCCCTCGGACCTGATGAAAATTCAAGTGAACCTATGATCATAGATACCAAGACTACTCACGATGGTAATGTTTTGTCTTAAACTGTGAAAAAATTCCAGCAGCCCTGATTATTTATAATTTTTTTCCTTTTCATGTAAACTTCAACTTAGATTGAAAAGCCACATAGCCTTGTATATAGCTGCCCTTAGGAGGCAATTTTGTGGTCACTTTGGAGAACACACAGATGCTACATTTAGACGTCTAATGTTACACTTGTGTAAAATATGTGTTAGTTTTCAGTCCCACAGTATGTTTTATTTCCGGTTAGACTCCCTGTTGTCTATTTGATGGGTTTTCTTGCCATTACGTAGTGGTCTGCAGCTAACCTTTCACATTTCTGACCACACATGCAGTTGTTGGGTCTCACGGGCCTGCATATAAAGATATATTGATAGATGGATTTGTTCCCCCATCCAGCAGCGTTGCTCCAATGTTCCCATTCTATGATAACACAGCTGACTGGGATGAGTATGGAGAGGTCATTAATCCAGATGATTACGTGATCAAGGATGAGGACATGGACCGAGGAGCAATGCATGTACGTTCCCTGTAATTATCATCTCTGTTTGGTTTTTATTTAGTTCTTGCTTAGCGATCAACGAGACCTCTTCTCTTAATTTCCATGATGTTGATTGCATACGGGCTCTTTTACAGTACTTTATGTATACGAAATCTCCACGATATACTCTGAGGATTTGGGATACAAATAGGAAACACTTACTTTTTTTTACCATAAAGTTGCTTGGGCTCTTGATTTGGCTTTAGTACAATCCTTCAGTTCAGTGCATTTGTTCTACAATTGGCTCTTTGTTTTCTTTTTGACCACTTATTGCTTGCGAGCAAGGATTTCTAATCTGTACTTGTTATCTTCTAAACCACCTTTTTAGAATTAGCTATATAAACTCTTGTGTTGTTATATAATTTATGATATGAAATCCCATTTCAGGCTGGAGGTGATGTGGATGGAAGGCTTGATGAGGCAACTGCTAGTCTCATGCTAGATACTAGACCTTCGAAAGTCATATCCAATGAGCTCATTGTAAGTAGACTCCAATACAAACTTCATAAGAGCTCCCTATTTCAGTTCACTTAGAAATAGAGATGGGAGTCTCATTGAAATGGCTCTTTTAGTCTTCTGTCTATACCTTGCTGCTGTCAAGTTTCCTTGATAAATGATTTGGTTTGTTCTTATGCTCTTTTGCACAGGTGACAGTTAGTTGTTCACTTGTTAAAATGGACTACGAAGGTCGTTCAGATGGCCGCTCAATCAAGTCAACGATTGCACATGTTTCTCCTCTGAAACTTGTACGTTAGCGATTCCTTTTTCCCTTGTCTTTATATCTATAGTAGTTAATCATTTCAGCTGATGTAATCCAATATCATGTGAAGGTTCTGGTGCACGCAACAGCAGAGGCTACGGAGCATTTGAAGCAACACTGCTTGAACAGCATCTGTCCTCACGTGTACGCTCCAAAAATAGAGGAAACAGTGGATGTGACTTCTGATCTATGTGCTTATAAGGTAATAACCCCGAAATTAGGAAGATCCTATTTTCACATTGGTTATGAGTTGTGATAAAAAACTAACCTGTATGGTTCCTCGCTGTATAACATCAGGTCCAACTATCTGAAAAGCTGATGAGCAATGTAATCTTCAAGAAGGTACCTTTTAATTTTCCTCTACACACACGCACTAATGGTTTCCGATTATCTCATCCGATACTGAAACATTTTAATTTTTTTTGGAAATGATATATATAAGCTGGGAGATTCAGAAGTAGCATGGGTGGATTCTCAAGTAGGGAAGACAGAGAGCGAGAAGCGGTGTCTACAACCAATGGCGAGTGCCGCAGCTCCACACAAACCTGTGCTAGTGGGAGATCTGAAAATGCAAGACTTCAAGCAGTTTCTGGCAAGCAAAGGAGTTCAGGTAGAGTTTGCAGGTGGAGGAGCTTTACGATGCGGTGAGTATGTCACTCTAAGGAAGGTCGGTCCAACTGGTCAGAAGGTAATTAACAATATAAAACCAAAGACTGTAGTAATTCTTACAAATCCGTAATACTATAATCTTAAACCATCATATGGTGGTTCGTTCTTCAGGGAGGAGCATCAGGTCCACAGCAAATTCTAATAGAAGGACCGTTGTGTGAAGATTATTATAAAGTGAGGGATTATCTCTATTCTCAGTTTTACCTCCTCTGATTGGTATAAAGAGAGAAGATGCAGCTTCCCTCTTCTTCTTCTTCTTCTTCTGTTGTTTCCCTTTCTGCAGCACTTTTCAACTACATTGTAATTTCTTTTAGTAACTTTAAGTGTAACTTTTAACATAGTCAATGAGTCGTATTTTTAACTTTAGGCTCGTCTTTTGACATCTTAATCATTGGATTCACAAGGCAAAAACAGTGAGGCTGTGCTTTGCTGACGTGGCCTTTTTGTGTGCTGACGTGGCATTCACTAATACTGTACAATGTCGTTTTTGATCAGTACGATGTCAGTTTTAAAAATTTCTAACGCGTTAAACATGGGAAAAGATAATTTGAATTTAATTAGCTGGTTAGGTGTGTGTGTGTGAGGGCGATCACTCCAACAACGCTCTCTCTCTCTCTTTTTTTTTTTGTTATTGCCGTGACGAAGACAAAGCACCACCAAACATATTTATTCTTTAATTTCTAAAGCCCTAAAATAAAATCCTTCGGAGACATTCGCCATTATTTTCATTTCAATCTCTTCTTCTTCTTCTTTTAACTGATTCTCTTTTTATTTTTTTTCTTATCCTCTCTTACTACCAACCAACCAACCATGGCTTCTGCGACGGCCACGTGGACACCTACCTCCCTCCAGCTCCGTCTCGCTCTTACCTCCGGCGCTCGCCGTAAATCCAGCGCCGTCTACTTACGCCCCTCGCGTATCGGTTGTGGAGGAGTTGTCTGCTGCGTTTCGCAGAAGCCTGGAGTCGAAGCGTGGACTGGATCGGATTCGTCAAAATCGGATGGTTTAGCTGGTTGGGACGATTCCGGTAACAACGGAAACAAGTCTGCCAGAGCTAAGAAGAAGAGTTTAATCGAAGGTATACGCTGCTTGATGTTTACTTGTGACTCGCGGAGTTTCCGAGGCTCCTTGAGATTAGGTTTAATTAACTCAGCTGGTGACGACTATCTGATTACAATAATTGAAAAAAAAAAATGCTTCTCTAATGAGTGTGTAGTAGATTTAAGCTTAGACTTCTAAGCTGAATCGTATTTAAACTGTGTACATAATTGTTTGTTAAGATTATGTTGAGCATTTTGAATAATATACTCTGATTGAAACTTTGTAGTTTATACGGGTGGACTAATAAGCTGTAAGTAGTTTGATTTCAGGTGTAGTTGGTGCTGGAGTTGTTGGAATCGTTTTGGTTGCTGCTTTAAGCTTTGCAGTTTCTTCTTTTAACAAGCGTAATCATGCCAGTAAGTTCATGTTCCTTCTCTTTTGCTATTAGAAGCTCTACTCAAGCTTTTGCTCGAGTGCCGCCTCTTTACGAATTTGTTTTGTATTGATGTATGTGGTGATTAATTTTTTTGAGCGTAGGACTTAAACCGGAAATGCAGTCGTTGACTTCTCAGCAGGAGAGCGTGGTTATATCATCTGATGGAACTCCTAGTGATGAAGCCAAGATAGCTAACAGCGAGGACATTCTTAAGGACGAGGTTAAGAGTATAGAAGTCAATGATATTGGTCAGCTAGGTGATGACAAAGTGTATGGTGAAGGTAAAATACTTGGTGCTGAGGATTCGTTTGTTGATGGTATTATATCTGATGGAACAGATGCCACTGCTGAAATCATTACACCTGAAGCAGAGTTGAAGCTTCATGTTCAATCTGATCCTGACACGCCGGAAAGTGAGGAAATAATTTCTGAATCAAAGTCTGTGTTAGACTCATCACCTGAGGCTGTAGATTCACAAAAGAGTGAGATTACTGGAGCCGAAAATTTAGAAGAATCTGATAGCCTTCCAAACACTGAACCGATCAATGTGTCTAGTTTAGAAAGTGAAGTCGATAGTCAGAAAGAAGATTCCATGTCTGCTTTACCTGACAGTGATGCGTATGCAGCTACGGGGACTGTAGCTGTTGGCGTTTTTGTTGATGCACAATCAGATTTGACTTCGGATCCTCATGCTGTGCCACTTAATGACACGGGGACAGCATTCTCGACTGTGACTGAGGATATTCCTGAGGTGAACGGAACACCTGAGGAATTAGCTGCGGGGAGGATGTCATCAGTCTTGGACATAGATACAGAGAAAGAAGTTGAATCTTCAGAAACTCCTGTCTCAGAATCTACATATTTGTCAAAAAATGAACTTAACATCAATAGTCAAGACGAGCTTGGCGACAACGGGCAACTTCTGGAAACACCGAGTGGTGGAAATGCATTTTCTTCAGCAGGAATTCCTGCACCTTCGATTTCTTTTCAAGTAAATCCTGGAAAGATTCTTGTTCCCGCAACTGCAGATCAGGTCCAGAGTCAAGCATTTGCTGCTCTGCAAGTTCTGAAGGTAGTGTTGTACAGACCCTTGCTATGTTGTTTGATGGTGTAGAGATTTGCTTCGTTCTGGCACTTGTAGAATTTTGCAGCTTATGAATCATTTTCTCCTCTTTCCAGGTCATTGAATCTGACATCCAACCTAGCGATCTTTGTACGCGTAGAGAATATGCCAGGTGGCTGGTCTCTGCTAGCAGTGCATTATCAAGGTATATCTAATGATAGTGTTAATGGATCTGGTGGGGTTAGAATGTTCATCTTTGGAATTGAAAAGTGAATTTCATACATGTGTGTGTGTTCCTCAACTCTTTGCAGAAACACGACCTCAAAAGTGTATCCGGCGATGTATATAGAGAATGTTACAGAGCTTGCTTTCGATGATATTACTCCTGAGGACCCCGATTTTTCATCCATTCAAGGTGAAATTGGACTCTAAATTTCAACTCTTCGCAAAACGAAGATAACCTATGAGGCTAACTTCTGTCTACTTTTTTCAGGTTTGGCAGAAGCAGGACTTATCACAAGCAAGCTTTCTAACCGAGATTTACTTAACGATGTTGAAGGCACGTTCTTCTTTTCCCCTGAAAGGTACTTATGTCACTGAAAAATTTGAACTCATTCAGTTTGTTAAAAAGAAATTCTGCATTTGTATACCGCATTGACAGTAACAGATAAATACTCTTTATTTGATACGGCTACCTTAGTTTCTATTTAGAATGTTAGTTAGTGCTTTGACCAAAAAAAGATGTTTGTGCTTTGTCTTCAGCATTCTCATAAAACAGAACGGAACAAAATCATTGCTCTTTCTGTTTTTAGAATATTATGGTGCTTTGTACTTTCACATTACCTTTGCATTCATATATTGGCTTATTTCTATTAGTTAAGCTTGTTTGTGTCGATGCAGCCTTCTTTCACGCCAGGATCTTATAAGCTGGAAAATGGCCTTGGAGAAACGACAGCTTCCAGAAGCTGATAAAAAGGTTGCATATCAAGCTTTGTTCTATTCACTTCCTCTCATAGTCTTGCGGATAATCATCTATTCACTTCATCATGCAGATGCTATATAAACTCTCGGGTTTCATTGATATTGATAAGATAAACCCAGATGCATGGCCTGCCATCATCGCAGATTTATCTACTGGAGAACAAGGAATCGCTGCCCTTGCATTTGGTATGCGTAGATTTCACATATATGTCTTCTACCACAATACCACAATCATGGCCTGATTGTATAATGCACACCCGTTTTGTAGGTTGTACAAGATTGTTTCAACCTCATAAACCCGTCACTAAAGCTCAAGCTGCGATTGCACTCTCAAATGGTGAGGCTTCTGACATAGTCAGTGAGGAACTGGCACGCATCGAAGCAGAATCAATGGCTGAAAAGGCCGTGTCTGCACATAACGCCCTGGTTGCCGAGGTCGAAAAGGATGTCAATGCGAGCTTCGAGAAAGAGCTTTCCATAGAACGAGAAAAGATTGAAGCCGTCGAGAAAATGGCGGAACAGGCGAAACTGGAGTTGGAGCAGCTGAGGGAGAAGAGAGAGGAAGAGAATCTAGTGTTGGTCAAAGAACGAGCTGCAGTTGAGTCAGAAATGGAGGTGCTCTCAAGGTTAAGACGTGAAGCAGAAGAGAAGCTGGAGGACTTGATGAGCAACAAGGCCGAGATATCTTTTGAGAAAGAAAAGGTTTCCAATCTTCGAAAAGAAGCTGAAGAAGAGAGCCAGCGGATTTCAAAGTTGCAATATGAACTGGAAGTAGAGCGTAAAGCTCTGTCCATGGCCAGGTACTCCTTCTACATCCGAAACTATACAATATGCTTATAATGTCAAAGAATCTATCTACATTCTTATATCAACCAAATGAGTGCAACCCTTTTGATCAGTGACTGAATCCTCATATTTTACTTGTTCAGATCATGGGCTGAGGAGGAAGGAAAGAGAGCTAGAGAGCAAGCTAGAGCTTTAGAAGAGGCTAGAAAGCGATGGGAAACAAACGGACTAAGAGTTATTGTTGACAAAGACCTTCAAGAGGATGTAGAGACGGAACAAAGCGTATTGCTGAACACCGTGGAGCAATCTTCCATTGAAGGAACCGAGGAGAGAGCCCAAACCCTTGTGGATAAGCTGAAGGAGATGGCAGAATCCGTGGGTGGAAAATCCCGGGAAGTGATCTCCATGGTGATGGAGAAGATACGTTTATGGATTATGGTTTTGAAGGAATACGCAGAGAACTTGGGGAAGCGAGCAGGAGAAATGAGAGAGGCAGCCATTGTTAGGGCAAAAGGAGCAGCGAAGGAGGTTGAGAAAGGGACGGTTCAGGTAGGCGATAAGGTGAAGAGAATGGCTGAGGAGTGTAGAGATGGAGTTGGGAAGATCACTCAGAGGTTCAAGACTTGAGTGAGTTCTTGAACTTACCTTTTTGTATTTTGTTTTCTTGGAATAAAATAAAAAGAGAATAATGGCATGACCATTACAATATATACCGTATCGGTCAGTGATGATCAGAGAGTTAAAAGACTGTAACATTTTGTAATCTTTGTTATGTGCTTACTTAACACACTTGCAATACATTACAGCTGCCTTGGTATTAGGCCTGTGACTTCGGTTTTCCGAAACCGAACCATCAGTTTTCGGTTTTCCGAAACCGAACCATCGGTTTTCCGAAACCGAACCATCGGTTTTCGGTTAACCGAAAAATTTGAAACCTATTCCGAAATTAACTGAATTAATTTGCGGTTTGGTTCAGTTATCGGTTAATTTTTCATAATTATTTCTGAAAATAACTGATTTTTTTTTTGTTTTCAGTTAATTATGGTATAAATTTCCAAAAAATTGGATATTTAAGATATTTTTGGTTATTTCGATTTAATTTGGTTCGATTTTTTGGTTATTTCGGATATTATCAGTTATTTTCAGTTTTTTATTTTTTTTTTTGAAATCAATAACCGAACTGAAACCCGAATTACTTTTCAGAATCCTATCGAACTAAACCAAATTTAAAACTGAAACCGAACCAAAAACCAAAAAATTTGATTTGGCTCGGTTTGGACTGTTCGGTTTGGTTTAAAGTCGCAAGGCTACTTGGTATGTTAGTACTCAAAGGCATACAACACGTCATGATTTGCTAGCATTCACTATAGGGATAGGCGTTTGGGTACCCGTTTGAATTCGGATAGGATATTTCGGGTTTTCGGATATTTCGGTATTGGGATCTAGCATCCGTTCGGGTATTTTTATATATCAGGTCGGATTCGGATATTTTAAGTTCGGGTTCGGTTATTTCAGGTCGAGTTTCGGATATTTAGATTTTGAAAGAAGACTTCTTTAACTTCTAGTTTAATAATGATATAAATAAAATTAAAAAAATATATAACTAATATAAATTAAAAACACATACAAAACTAATACAACATAGAACATGTTTTGATTTATTATTTGTGCCAAAGATATAGTAATAGTACTGTTTAAAAATATACTAGATTTTGACCCGCGCTTGAAAGCGCGGATATTTTTTATGATTAAAAATTTATATACTTGGGTTTTGTCTTAATTTAAAGAATATTTTGATATAAAATCAGTTCACCAAAATTTGTGGTGATGATTGTTTTTCATTAGTTTTAAGTTTCAGTTTTTATTTTAGATTTTGGTTTTTGGTTTTTGGTTTTTAGTTTTTAAGTTTCTACTTTTCATTTTCAGTTTTTGGTTTGGGTTTTTAATTTTAAAACCCGCCGAGTTAGTTTGAACTAACATTACCAACAAACAAATCTCAAGTAATCGAACATCTAATTTAAAACTGAAAAGATGATAACACATTTTTTAAAAAAATTTGAAATAGTTTATTTTGTAAATAAACAAAACAAAAAATATAACATGTGTTTTCAGCTTTTGGTTTTAGATTTTAGTTTTCATATTTGGTTTTTGGTTTTGCTTTACATTTTTTTAATCAGTAAATTATTAAAAAAAATAAAACAATAAATTATTTAAAAGTTACAATTGAAATTTATCAAAACAAAGTGATTGTTATTTAAAATAAAAAATATATTAATATGTTTTAAAGTACATGATTTAAATAAATGATTAATAATAGATAATTTTGTTTTGTTAAAAATATTAAATACCTTTTGGGTCTGAAAATAATAATTGATTTTTTGATCTTTTAAGGTGAAAAGTTTATTCAATGTTTTTGGAGTTTTTTTCTTAATACTAAGCCCAAAAACCAAACTATATAATTTGTTCAAAAAATAAAATTAAGCCCTATAATATATTCCATAAATAATCATTGCCTTAATTTAAGTATAACTAGGTGATTTTCCCGTGCTCATGCACGAGCTTAAATATTAAAAAAATAAATATATTATAATAGTTAATTGATATTTACTTTAAATTTTATATTAATTTATAGTTTGTATGTATAATTTGTAATAATAATATTATATATTTTAGTTATTATAGTTTTATATATATTATATTTAGTCAGTATTATCATTTGGATATATATATATTGGATTCTTTCTATTCTATGAATTCAATTATAATCTTTTTTATTCTAAATATCTTAAATTTTTCATTAATTATTTTATTTACATTTATGTTGGTTGTTATCTACGAAATATAAGTATATCTTAGTAAGATTATGTATTTTAAGATTTTTTGTGCTTAAAACGAAAAAAATAAAAACTAAAGTGTCTGATTCTAAATTACATAAGTAATAATAAATTTTTGAAAGCTTATGAATACATATCAATATTTAAAATAATTAAAATATTTTATAAACTCTAAATAATTTATGCCATAGATTGATTGGTTGATAAACTGAATTTTTTTTAAAATAATTTTAAAAATAAGGAATTCTGATTTGCTTTAAGTATTAGATTATGGTTATATTAAATTCCACAAACATAAAAACCGAAAATTAAACATCAAAAGAGTTATTAAGAAAACAGATAATTTTAACTATTAATTATAATATATCTACCTTGTTAAATTATAGTATTATGATATATTAAAAGAATTGTAGTTATTTGATCAAAAGATGTTTATTATTAAATTTATTTTTAGTTTTGTTTTTAACATCTATTAAAATATGCAGTAAAAATGTGATTTTTTTGAGTAATTATATTATATAAGTAAAATATAGTTTATACTTTTTGCTGTAGTTGTAAGATAATCAAATAAATATACTAAAAAAATATTTCAATGATACTAATTATAATTTTTTGTCAATTAAACATATATCAGTTTATGTTACTTAATTATTTTATGTAATAATCTAATAAAATAGATAGATTTATCAAAAATAATTAATTTGAAAATATATATTTTATTGTTGAAATTATTTTTAAAGAAAAATATTTCTTTTCTAATATCAAGATTATTTGTATGAACTTTGTTAATGAAAACACTTTATATACAAATATTTTTTTCATCTAAGAAGATATAGATATAAAGTATTTTATTACTTAAAAGTATAATTTATGTTATTTAAAAATATATTTAAGTTAAATATTACTATTTTGTAAACTTTCCTTTTTTATGAAACCATATTATATATATACTTATTTTTCGTTTTAAATAGTTTTGTAAATTTTATAAATATTTCCTTTTTATTTTATATTGTTATTTGGAAGATTTTAAAAAGGAAATAATAATATTTAAATATATTTTTAGTTCATTAGGGGTATCATAGTAATCAACCAACGTGAGAGTTAACGTGAGCGCGACACCTAAGAAAGTGACTTCTCAAATAATATTATAGAGATTAGTAGATTTCCATATTCCATATTTTGATGATATATATTCTTTTAGAACATTCCATATTTGTAGGAGAAAATATGTGTTTTCGCTATACACATAGATACCTGCCGTATTTTGAAGGTAGTTTACATTAAGATTGTCTCTTTACATTAATTGTGTTGGTTTAATTTTAGTAATACAGTTCAATCAATTATATGACTTATATTATTTGTAACATTCTAGAAAGGGTCCAAATTTAAATAACAACTTGTATCAGTAGATAAAAAGAATGACTCTATTTTAATATAGTAGATACTATTGTATTGTATGTGTTATGTGGTTATGTAATTTTATTAATGCATTAATAAATTATTTAGTAAAGCTAGATTTTAGTTTACAATTTAAAATTTTAAAATAATTGAGCATAATTTATAAATTATATCAAATAAAAGGTGGGGTTCGCAATATATATAAAAAAATTGAAGGAAAAACTGAAGAAAACAAATGGAGCAAATCATAAACTTGCATTATTTTGAGGTAAATAATAAAATGTTCTAAGATAATCCAAATACCAGAAATGATGAAGATCTAAGGAATGATAGATCCCAAGAAAACAAGTCTTACTCAAAATCAAGAAACTCAAGAATGGATTTTTAAGGTCTTAAAAAAGCAAGCAATCTCTTATTTCTTCTCTTCTTTCTCAGCATCGGCAGCTCTGTTGGCTCTGACACCAGCATGGCGTTTGTTAGTTCTCTCAAGATGGATCTTGTCATAAGCCTTGAATGCCTTCATATCAGCAGTCACCTTCACAAGCTCCATGGCAATCTTCTCACTAGCAATAGGCATGTAATCTCCTTGGACTTGAGTTGCATTAGCAAGCTCCTCTTGAGTAGAATCACCAGCCTTGCAAAAACAACAAAGTCACCAATTGTCATTACATAACAAAAAAAAAAACTCAAGAATCAAAAGATATATTAAAAATCATCTATGATACCTTGACGACACGGGAACGGCGAGGGAACACAACCAACTTGGCCTTGTAAGTCTTTAGCCTTTGCACGTTGGATTGAAGACCCTCCAAGGAATGGTTCCTACGACGGTGATCAACTGAAATTCCAATTGTTGAAGCCAACTTCTTTGCGATACCAGCGGCCTGATGATAAAAGAGAGTTTTCATCATTTCAACTTTTATAAAGAGCTCAAAATGAGTTAATAGTTTGAGTGAGCAGACCTTAAGCTCCTCGAGGGTGAAGCCTTTACCGGCTCTGACTTTCATGTTGTACTTGAGAGTCTGGCCATGAACAACAGAACGGAGAGGTCCAGAGGTGGGACGAGGGAAGATCGTCACTGCTTTCTCCTGTCTCGCTACATACATGATCAATATAAATAAGTATATGAAGAGACAACGTAGGTTACATAAGTAAACTCAAGCCAAAGATGATGAGATATAAAGCTAACCAACACGTCTCCTAGTTTTTCTGGCAGGTTGGTTAAACCATGTCTTAACATCGTTCTGCCACTGCTTCCTGAAGTGTGATCCCGTGATCTCATTGTTGTGCTTCATCCTCTCACCTTAAAAAAAAAAAAAAAAGAAGAAGCAAATTCAACAATGAGAAAAAACAATTTAGCTACACACGAAGCAAAAGAGAGAGTCATGAATTATACAATACTGATCAAGTACAAATTATAGTATATGTATCAACCACATTTTATTCAAGGCAGATCAGATTCATTAGCATATTATGTGTTCATACAAGGACGAAATGATATATTGATCTCAGCGAGACAAAAAAAAGAAAAAGACAAATCAGAGTCTCATGATACAGAGGCAGAGAGAGAGAGAGATCAGAGATATACGCACAGCAGCAGCGGCTGGACAGAAATGTCTAAGGAGTAGCCGTGAGGAGGAGGGCTTCTGGAGATTTTCATGTCACATGTTTTTATAGTGAAAACCCTGACCATTGACAAAAAAGAAACCCTAATTGGAGCAGAGGTATTGGAATTCACTTAGTCAAGATGGGCCGATCTTCTTTTAATGTTTTTTTCTTCCGTGTCAACGGGGTCGTTTATAGTCTGTACGATGAGGCTTCTGATGAGTTCTGTGGTAATTAATACTAGGTGACTGGCCCGCACCCTGTGCAGGCATAAGTATGTTCAAAAATTTATTATAATAGGTGTATCGGTTTAGAAGTAACGGACTACACCATGTTTTGGAGAAACCCTACACCATAGAGAAAAGCCGGTACTCAATATTTGACATTGTATGAGAGGGTATAAAATAACGCACATGGTGCAAACAGTTATTGTGTGTATGTATAATTGCAAAGTCTCAAAATAATTAGTGTGTTTTACGAAAATATTTCCAAAATATTTGATTTCCAACTTCTTTCGCAAGTTATCGAATATAATGTAAGGCAAGTAAATAACCTAACAAAATATTTGAGGTACGATTCTCATACCATTTGCACGGCGAACCAAAAATAAATATAAACGAAAATTAAAATAAATCATCCAATCAGATTCTTAGAATTTCTCTGAGAAGGCCTATATGAGTGCCACGTGACTTCTCTTTTAATGTATAAGGGGATGTGAACGGATGTACGTCCTCTTCCTATATTTGATACTACCAACCATGCATGATAGTTTATGTAGGTTTAATAAGTGAAATCTTATACAATAAAATTGAGTTTTCTCACTTCTCAAACCTCCACATCAGCATTAGAGCAATGGGCAAAAAAGACATATCAGCAGTTACTAATTGAAATTAAACCGGACAAATTAATTCTTCCGATCTCAGTTTGTCACATTCTGATTTTTTGAGTTTTTTTGACAAAATGGGTTTGAGCTATTCAAAATATAATGGCCAGTTATAGAATGATTTATGTATTACGCAATTTGCATAATTTTTTTTAAAGATTTACACACATTTTCAGCCTGTTAAGTCATCTTCTTACCTTAGATTTCAGAGATCAAACCGACGGTCACCTTTTTGTAAAGTGTTTTTTTACCTTTTTGTAAAATTTGTTCTATGCATCCTTATATTTCATATAAAATAATTAACACTTGCCCAGCTCATACCTAAACAATGTGCATAGTTTGTATCACATATATTGCAACATCTTCGACGTTTTAGTATACATAATTTAAAGTCACAAATGATAATAATTAACACAAATTAATAGAATTATGAAGATATCATCATAGAAAATTATGAACACTTTCATAACTCATATAAGATTATAAAAACTACAGAGCTAATGAACACTTGCACAACTTCTAAAAGAATAGACAAAGAGCAGAGCTTATATCACTTTGTTTAAATAAAGGTCGGAGCTTATATCACTTTGGTTTATGATTGACACATATATAAGAATATGTTCAAAAAAAATGATTGCCACATATACAAGGTTTTAGATGAGAAATTTACAAGTAACAAACTGATAATAATTAACACAAAATCATAAAATTAAGAAGTTACCATTGCAAAAAATTATGAACACTTGTACATCTCATAAAATATTAGACACATTTCAGAGCTTATATAACCTATATTGACACATCCTATACGCTTAGAAGACAAGTTTATAAATAACAAACTGTTAAAAATTAACAAAAAAAAAATAGATTTAAGAACCTTTATCCTTGCAAATTAAAGCTTATCGTTGCAGGGTGCCTACACGCCTCCCAACTGAATGATTAGCTCACATTGTAAATGCATTGTAATTGCAAAAGCCAGTAGTTACGTATCTCCTACATTCTTTCACTACACAGTTCTGATGCAACCTCTTGATTTTTAATTACTCAACCATTGCGATTTTCAGAAATAATGGTGAAGACGCCAGTTGAATTTAATGGTAAAGCAACCACAAGGAGATCTCCACAAAAATCTTAGTGTTTCTGAACACTCCACCGCATCATCATCATCTGTAACCAAAAGAAGTCATAAAAATAAAAAAAATTGGTCCAAAGGAGACGTAAACTTATTTTTTATGATTTTGATAACTTACTCTTTGGTAAATAAATTTATGTACTTATTCCTACTCTTTAATCTTTGTTCCTCCAGTATCTGAACCACGTCAGCCTTGGCTACAAGAGAAATATCTACCACGCACACCAGCCCCCCTCCCCCCATATCGGACACCTATCAGCTGAAGCTCTTCTTAATAGTGAGGTAATAAATCAGTACTTCTTCCACCACAAATCAATCAAAGCACTCAATCACCTCGCATGTGCCAATCTGCTTATGGAAAATACAATAAGGGTATGTATCTTTGTAGTTTAGTAATGTTGTTCAGAGGAAACCTCAAAGAAGGAAAATATTTCTTTGATATCCTTGACTAGGAACACACACTATCGAAATCCGATCGCTGCTGGAATAAGATTAAAATGTTCAAGTACTTTGGATATCCGATCAGATTTCTTTGATACACTACTGCGGCAATGTTATCAAGAAACTTATGTTCGGGACAAGAACGGTCTCTGAAAACACTGGACTTGACGGTGGACCAACGGCAGAGGATATTGAGCATATGGAAGCTATGTTTGAAGCATTAGGGTTTAAGTTCGCCTTTTGTATCTCTGATTATCTACATATGCTCACGGGACTTGATCTTAACGGTCACGAGAAGGGTGGAGTTTAAGATATAAACAATCAGTCTAGGATTGTTACTATTTTGGGTATAAGATATAAACGATCAGTCTAGGATTGTTACTATTTTAAGAGGACAAAACTATATATATCTTCCTTGAAACAACATAATCACAAAACAAACACAACTATTTACATTTTTCATTCACAAACATGAACTTTACTTTATGTTTAAGTATATACTAAATTAACTTTGTAAAGTCTATCAAATTTTTACTCTACATTTATTTGTTTCGATTAATAACAACCACTTATGTTATTCCACTAATAATCAGAAAAGATCATTGTCTTCAACATAGTTATAATATCAAATTTCTGAACCTGATCTCTTCACTAAGGCCACGAAATAAATCGCAACTTCTTTTATAATAACATATATGAATCCGGCGCGTAGCGCCGGCACACCACTAGTAAATAAATAATGTTAACATTTTAGGCGTTTATAAAGCTAATTATGTATATTTATCAAAATTATCGTTTTGAGTACGTTATTAGTCCGTTCAGGAATGTGTTGGTATTTGGCACATAGGCTGATAATCCCTGTTCATAACAGTTAGCCATAACTCGCATCTGGATTGGCCATATATAAAAATAACATCTTCAAAAATGGAGTAGTCAGAATAATGTAATAAAAATGTAACAAAGTTGTAATTATTTAAAGCTTAACTATTATTAGAGCAAAGGAAAATATAACTGTTATTGGTTGACTCTGGACTTATCTATAGATTCCATACCAAAAGTAAACGAGCACGACCTACGTGCCACGCTCTAAATCAGAAATCAAAACAGACAAAATAGTGTGAAGCCACATATCTGTTCTAGTGGGATTATAGAGACATAACCAGAATATATAAAAAAATAACATATTTCCTATACAATACTCATTGCATTTTTCTTTGATAATAATAATGATCAGCCAGTTTTGTAGTTAGTGTATTTTTGATTAATTACAGAAAGACATTTTTATTTTATTTTTGAATTTTATCGAAGATATAAGAGTAACATACTATTCAACTTTTAGCCATAGTTCGAATTAGTTTCACAAAAAGTATATGATAGATAATACAGATGGGAATTAAGGTGAATTTGTAACTAGTTAATCTGTTTGTCAAAGGGACTATAATATGATTTTCCCCAAATAAGAACCGGCAAAAGAGAATCACTCTTAACTGGATTGCTTATTTTAGTATATACCCCTGTGGGCATGACCATATGTATAAAACATTAAAATACATTGTTTGGAGACATTAATGCTTGTTAGTATAAATACCATTAATTTGACAACATACACTAACCAAGAAAACAAAGCATCAAGAAAACATACACCAACTATCAGGTTGCTCCAATAAAGCCATGTCTCGTGTCCTACTTTTGTTCATCTTTTCTTTGTTGGTTTTGGTTGGATCAATCAATGGTAACAATCTTATACTATATCAAATCCATTTTCCATAGTTTTTAATTTACCAAATATATAACCATGAAACTACTAGGAACACCGTGTGGATCAACTCCCACAACATCCAATTGGAGGGATAAGATGGAAGCCTCCGAGCAAGCACAAGAACGAATGGGAAGGATAGGTTTGGAGTGCGAAACAGAAGGGTATTCAGGTGGTTCGGGCTCTGGATCGGTCTCTCCTGCTGCTTCCCTTCTCGGACTCTTCTTCTTGCTTTTCATTATATTTGGTGTCGCCGCGGCGATCTGGTGCGCATGTGTCCAGAGGCAAAAGGCTATAAACGCAGCCAACATCAATAACTTTTCAGGTTAGTAATATGAAAATTAGATGATCTAACTAACTTCGGTTGGTGTTAGTGGTAACGGTTTGGAAGTAAATGTAATATAGGAGCTCAGGTGGCTCATGGAACTGACCTCAACACCGTTCACAAGGGAGATCCTGGTTGCAAAGTTTGATTTATTCGTGTTCATTTGATCTATTGGTCATGTTTTTTGATCATGCTACGTACTCTGTTAAATTTGGCTACATTACAGCTTGTTTCACAAACATTTGCAAACTTCTCTTTATTTCTTGGGTTACTATGTTCAAAGTATTTGAGTTGAGCTATATCGAAATAACATTTTCATGTTTATTTATATCTTTAACTCACAAGTCTGCGAAGACGGAGACAAAAGGGACCAGGTTTTATATTCACTAAAGTGGATTTGGATCTAGGTCGTGGTGACTGATGCGTCCCTCGAAAAGTGAATGACCATAGATAGATACCCAGTTAGATTCTCATTTGGTGAGAAGCCTCATCATAGAGCCTGAGAAATAATCATACAGGAGCTCTGGCTAAAAACTTATCCATTTGTTTTCAGACAAATCAATATATATATTGATATATCAAAACGTTGCATCACCTATATATTATTTGAGAAGTATAATCATACGGGAGCTTTGGCTAAAAACTTATCCACAGCCTCACTAAACTTTGTATCCACATGTGTCATTACAACATTCACTCTCAACAAAAATAATGACATGGTATCAATCTAATTGTGACATGTAAAATTTACTATATTAAGTTTTATGAGTTTGGTAACAATTCTTAAATATACTAGTGAGTATTTTATATATATGGATTTATATTTTTGGCAAAGTTCATAATATAGTAATAACTAATAAATTTTATATAATTTTTTTCTTTATAAATATTCATTTTGGTAAGATTTTGGAGATATGGTAATACCTACTAATTTTTCTATATCTATTAAAATCTCTTATATATTATAAGAGAAGCATTACAACATTTGAGGTAGCCACGTGTCATTACCAAATTGATTTTTAGAATCCTTAGAGAAATAGGTTGGTCCATCTAATTATATACTAAAGTTTTCATTAAGTTAACTATAATATTAGGTATTAAACAAAAACTATGGAATTTCCTAATGTGACTAAAATATATATGACAATTAATAATTTTCACTATTAAAGATTTGATAAAACAATTATGTATACGATCATTTTGTCTAAATTTATATTACTAAAATAAATTAAACAATAAAATTCATCATAAAATAAAAAAAAATTGTAAATTTTCTGTATATTTTATATTTTGAATTATTAAAACCGCAATAAATTATTAAAACTGTTAAATGTCACACACTAACAAAATTATGATCAGTGGTTTAAAATATATTATAACAATATACAAATGATTAGAAAATCATATTAATAACAAGTCTCATTTAATAAATATTGAGATTAAAAGATATATTTATTTTAGTAATATTTTATATATGCCATATATATACATATATATTGTAATTTTGATTTTCTTTTGAAAAATATTGAGAACATACTAGAACATTACATTGTTTTTTTTAAATGATCATCAATTAGTAAAACTATTAAATGTCACATTTAAAAAATATGAGTGATATAAAATTTTTATTTTTAAAAAATGCATATGAACATCAAACCATATGAGTAGAAAGTCTTATTAATAAATAATCCTATTAAAATATACTTTATATGTTTAATATCATTTAAAATTAATTACAGACCACACAAAATATAAAAATGACTATTTAGATTTATTTATCATAAAATAATTGTACATGAACAAGACCTATTGTTTTGATTTATATACTCACACCAATTTATTTATCTATAAGTAGTAGGTACTTATTTCTCAGTTATTCTTTTATATTATTATCTTATTATTTCATAAAATGTAAAAACAAAAATAAGTCATAGCACAAAAAAAATCTATTTATACAATCTCATCCCCCGCACAAGGTGCGGGTACTAATCTAGTATATATGGTATAATTTGACACATGTCACTTTTACAATTACTTTCACTAAGAAAATGTGACATAGCATAAAAGAATAGATGACATGACTTATGATTAAAAATAACATGAACAATTACATTTAATGTTAATTTATATTTTTGGTAAACATTTTAGAATATGATAATAACTAATATATCATTAAATAAATATTTTCATCATAAAATAATATAATTATATAAATATTTTAAAAAATTTAAACATTATTTAAGTCCAAGACTTTGTCCCATAGATAACCGCCGTTTTATTAATTTAGTTTACACATATTAACCATGTTGGTTTAATTCAAGTAATGCGATTTAATCAACTATATGACTTGTATTATTTGTAATACTCTCGAAAGGGTTCAAATTTAAATTATAACTTGTATAAGTAGATAAAAGGAATGACTCTATTTAATAGAGTAGATTTGATTATTTTTTTTACATTAAACAATCAAATATATAATAAAATTTATTAAGAAAAAAAATTAAATTTTATTTTTAGTTATAAAAAATCACAAAAATCTAAAAAAATCTTACAAAAATTCTTAAATATTATTTATAAAATAGTAAAATAATTAATATTTAGTAATATAATACGATTAAAAATTATTATTCACTAAAAATATATAAAAAAATCCTATGCTATTTTTATTTCTTCCTTATTGTATTTATATTAAATTAAAATAAAATTATTAAAATTTTAAAATCGGTAACTTAACGTATTTTATTTTAAAATTGTTTGCATTTAAATAAATAAATAAACAAATAAACTAGCATTCACCATTAAAAATGATTAATATTCATAAACTATGCATATTTTGATACAAAAAATATTATGATATGTTAAATTTCTATATCTAAAACTAGAAATATATTTTATTTAATTTCAAACTCACAACAATATATAATCTAAAAATATGGAATTATCATTTTGTAATATACTATCATTTTGTAATATACTAGCTTGGGCTAAAAATAAACAAGATGTCAGGCTAAACAAACATTAAAAAAATCTGAAATTGGGCCTTGGCCCGAACATCTTTGGTAGAAATTCTATTCGTGGAAGATGTATCCATTTGTACGCACTCAAAACGGACCGCAAGCTTTCTTCATACGCACAATAAGTGGGACCCACTCCGAGTCATCGAAGGAGCGCCCAGAGCTATACGACGCGAATTTGAAACTTTTTTTTTTGTACTTAAACGGCTAACTCACTCAAAATCTGAAATAAATCAATTCAAAGTATAAAGGATATCAGACTAAAGAAAACGAACAGAAAGGAAACAAATTTCAAATTCAAACGCCTTCCCTTATCTATAGATTCATCATCCTTTGTGCTTCAAATTCGTTTGAGAAATCCTCTCTTGAGAAATTTGTGATAATTATGGAGACCAAGTCGTTGATGAGTCAGGGACGAAAAGCTGTTCGGGTGGTGGCTAGGGTTAAGCCAACAGCAGATCCGTTGGTTTTACAATCGTCAGCAGCAGCGACATCAATATCAATTCACAAGCCCAACGGATACGAATCTGAGTCTGTTTCGATTTCGTTCGGTGCTCAATTCGCTGGGTAAATTTCCTTTTTCCTTCTGCTCTGATTTTATTTTATTTTAATTTATAGATCTGTTTGGTTGATTGAAATTCTGGAGGTTAGGGATTTAGTATTGAGAAGAAGAACACATGAATATTTGAAAAAGAACCAACCCATCCACAGCCGACCATCCACGAGAGGCACGTGGCTCACGTGATAGATTTAGGCTCCAAGAGTTTAAATTCAAATACACTCTCTTCTCTTGCCTCTAATTCTATAATAAGCCTTGAAATAAACTAACGTTTTGTACATTGATTTCATTTTCTCTTTTATCTAATTGTGAATTGTGGAAAAAGCTCAAGTTTTTGAGAATTGATTTGAGTGAGATTATTATTAAAAAGAGAGAAACTTTTAGATCGTTTGATACATGAGAAGATTTCTCCTAAGCGTAGTTAACAAATTACGTTTTTTTATTTTGTCTTTTATGTTGTGGCAGTTCGAAAGACTCTTATAAGTTGGACTACTGCTATGAAGAAAACGAAACCACAAGTTTAATTCTCACCAAGGAGATTAAGCCTCTTATCTCTACTGTCTTTGAGGGTAAAGACGCTAATGTAATTGCACATGGAGCAAGATGTAGCGGTAAAACACATCTTATTCAGGTATTGAAAGACATGACTATTGCAAGATTATCAAATAGTTACTGAAGCTGAAGATGTTAATGGAGTTAAGTTATGATTTTGTTTTTAGGGGTCTGAGAAGGAGCCTGGATTAGCTGTCCTTACAATGGCTGAGATGTTATCCATGGCTGAGGAAAAGGGATACGCGATTTCAGTATCGGTTTATGAGGTCTCTCATGAAACTGTTTATGACATTTCAGACCAAGAAAAGAGAGTGGTCTCTGTGCTAGAGGGTGCACAAGGAAAGATTCAACTAAAGGGACTTTCCAAGGCAAGTCATTATGTGTGTTTGGAGCATTACGTCTCAGTGCGTCGTTCATGTTTTGCTGGTTAATGTCATAATGTTTCAAAGTTTGTGCTTTTCAGGTACCTGTGAAGTCACTCTTAGAGTTCAAGGAACTATATTTCGGTCTCAAGAAAACTCAGAAACTGACTGGTGACTCTCCTCTTCGGAGCCATAGAGGTGTGATGATACATGTAACTACTGGTAGCAACGTCAATTCTGGATCCCTTGGGAGGATGAATTTTCTTGATATGGCAGGTTGATTACTTTCTTTCACATTGTTAGTTACATTCTCTGTGTGATAATCTTCTGTCAGCATCTGATGTCTTTTGGCTTCCTCTGACAGGATATGAGGACTCTAGGAAACAAAACACAGATCCTCTAGAGGTTACAAGAATCAACAAGTCGATATATGCTTTACAGAACGTCATGTATGCTCTCAACGCAAATGAATCTCACGTGCCATATCGAGAGAGCAAACTCACTCGCATGCTGAAAGACTGTTTAAAAGGATCCAACAAAACATTGCTGATCACTTGTTTGGTATATACTTTGCTGGATGTTGAGTTGTTTTATGCTTACGTTTCACTGACTATAATTGCAGGCAATGCTAACCATTTGGTAATCTTGTTTCAGCCTCGGGAGTTTAGCCAAGACTCGTTTTATATGCTGAACTTAGCTTCACGTATCTGCCTAGGCAGTAACCGAGCCATGGCTAGTGTAACTAAGAAGAGCAATGGTCCTACCAGACCTATTTCATCATCCTCTGTCGTTCAGAGGAGACAAACACCTTTGACTGTGTCTGCTCCTTCTAAAAAACGGACTGAGCTAAGGGGTAATATGACTGAGAGAAAGATAAAGATCAACAGTTCCGCTTCTGCAATTAAAGGAAGGTAACTCTTCCCTAACCAGCTTTGTATCAGCTCTAAGTTTATTTGTGATACATGCATATGCTATGTTCAGTATTAAAACGTTAAGTAATGATCATACTTTTTTCTCAATGGCTGAAGGAAACTGTTCGGAGAAGCAAATGGTTCGGTGAAATCTAAAAACAACTATAAGAAGGTAAATCATCACTTGTTCTTATTCAAGTAAAATTTCAGAAATAGTTCAGCTGGACTCGCTTTGGATTTTGTAGATGGAAGGCAAAGAAAGGGTGGCAGTGAAAAAGGTTGAGATCCTCGTCCTGGATTGTTAGAATAATGCTCTTCCGTTTCTTCTTGTCAACCTTGAATGACACTTGTGATATTTTTGGTGCAGGAAATCTCCACTTCAAAGGTTGCAGTGAAAGTTCAGGCGTCCACATCTGAAGAAGTAAATCCTTGCAAGCTTGAACTTAAAGGAAATGCACGGTTCTATATTACTTACAAGTTCTTCTGTTTTTTAATGTAGGAAGTCTGCTCTTCATTTGTGGTCACAGATTTTCAATCTTCTTCGGTAGTGGAGGTAATATTTTGAAGTAGTGTTAATGCTAAATGAAAACTTTTATTCAACGGTTCAGGCTAACAGTGACTTCTCTGCAGGAAAATTCTGTCCTAGCTCTCTCAGGTTCCAGTAATCCTCAGGAGATACCTTGTAATCATGAAGAAGTGTTTTCAGAAGCTGTTGACGATGTTGCACGCAAAGGTGAGACTATAAAGTCTATAGTGAAGAATTTGTTTTAACAAAAGTTTAGCTATTATCTGATTTGTTCTTTGTAATGCAGCCGAAATTGTAGAGAAAGATGAGAAACGTTCAGATATTGAAGAAGGTCTGACTCTATTTAACGAAGGTAAGCCATGAGTCTTATAATATTTGATCTAAGAAGCTCATATGTGAAACCTTTCTTAAACTTCTTGTCTTCCTGCTTGTAGGTGAAAACTTGGACAAAGAAAACACCAATTTGCTAGCCAATGAAACTGCGTCACCACCGCTCAGCTTGCGGCTTCAAGAGCTATCCAACAAATTGAAGTCGATATGCAATACCTCAAATCAACCATCGACACCTGAGAAGTACCAAACTGCACTGACTAAATTTCCTGAACAAGTACCAGAGCATAGCGACATTACTGCTGATGTTGAGCTAAGGACACCAGAGAGACGTATGCCTTTAAATGTTGGTTGTAGTCCTTGGAAGACATTCAGTGCGCATAGCTCTAAACTGAAGGTAAGAAGAGTTAACAAGCATGCTTTAAATTGTTCTTTTTGGTTGAACATAAATTGTATCATATCTGTCTGCATATGATTATGTACTATATATATGCATTTGATACTTGGCTAATAGTTTGCTTCGGGACAACTCGTATCTTGATTGTGATTTAAAATGTTAAGTGGTTGATGACAATTTTTTTCTGGAAAATGTTTCAGAATTCTGCGGTTGAAGAGTATCTCAAGTTCTTGAACACTGCAGATAAGTAAGTTGTTTTCCCGTTTACTGATATCATCTGGGTACAACTCATTGCATTCACATTGTTATTTGGGTCACAATTTTAAAATAGTGTATATGTGATAAGTAAGTGAACCAAACTAATTTTTCTTTTCTCTTGTGTTATATTAACAGGGAAGATTTAAAGAAGCTAAAGGTTAGATGACTATTTTGATCAGAAAATATTAAATATGTATGTATGGTTCAGTAACTAATACGTTGACATGCCTTCATTGATGATGATATAGGGTATTGGAGAGAAGAGAGCAACTTACATAGTTGAGCTCCGCGAAGAATCACCTGAACCATTTAAGAAAGTAAGACATATGTCCACTATTTTTTGTGATTTATGGATAACAAGTCCCATCTCTATCACACTATAAATATGGCAAACCTCTCTCGAACATAGTTTCTTAGATGTATGTGATGTTCAAGATTCATACTAATTTTTTCTTACACTCTCTTATCTTCCATTGCAGCTTGATGACTTGAAAGATATTGGACTCTCAGAAAAACAGGTAAGTTTATTTATATCACCGAGTCCTGTTCGCTTTTCTTTTGTCGATTTGAAGTTGGTTTGGAACTTAAGCTTAGTTAAGTCAACTCTCAAATCTAGATATATCAATGTTGCATCAAAATCAGGTTTATACAGATAGTTTGGTAGGGTAGTTGAGATTGTTATGATGAGGATACATGATTTTTAAGCACATAGGTTTGTAAAGATACTCGTTAATGTTCCATCATCAAGAGTCTGAGACACTCTCTCATTTAAATTAACTTCAAGACTGTAAATACGCTTACATCTGTAATGAACTTATTGCATTGGCAGATTAAGGGATTACTAAGGAAAGAGATTGGAGATATTTTCAATTAGCTCAAGAAACGCTCTCTTTCTCTTATGGTCACAGCAAATGGGTTGAAATATCTATGAAGGTTTTGTGAAGCAACACACCAAGTTGCTCTACTAAAACTTGGAAGAATCTATTTATAGTCAATGAATACTAAGTTAAGGTGTTGAGTGTGTAGCATATTTTTTTTTAATCAAACTAAGTCGTGACCTTCTCCTGTCGGATGGTTTCTATATGTTTCATGGCAATGTCAAATATCAAATTTCAAATCAATTTCTTTTATTATCAAATCTTACAAGGTGTTTTCTTTACAACCAAAAAGTCACATAATACACTTGAATGCTTGATGATTGCTTCTCGAAGCTACTGTAAAGCGATCTCCGTTGAAGATAGAGATCAACTCAGGCAACACCTCCTCATGCCTCTCCACAAAATACTTCAAAAACCTCTGCTTAGGACTCGTCAAAGTAGACGAAATCGCAGGCACTTCACCAATCAACCCTCTAGAGATAAGAGCTCTAATCACATTACATCTCGGCAAAATAAACTTCTCCAAGCTGCATCCAAGCACAATAGGAGTTGAAGCCACATCCTTCAAAGACCAACCCATCTCCTCCACAAGAAACACAATCTTACTCCTCACCGTATCCGAAGCCAATCCAATACACTGAGGATGTCTCTTAATAATCATCAACGCCTCCTCTCCCGTAAACCCTAGCTTCACAAAAGTCTCAACTGAACTCACAATCTTCTCCTCAGAAGTTCCTACACATTCAGGATACTTCTTAACTACCACACGCACCTCTTCTTCAGTTAAACCACACTCTCTCAAAGTCTCGAACGTCTGAGTTATCTTCTTCTCAGAGTATTTCAACAAGTAAGGCCATTTCTTGAAAATGGCCCAAACCTCATCAACAGAAAACCCTAACTTTTTGTAAACACCCACTTTCTCCTCTATAGTCTTCTCACTCAGCTCGTAGAAAACATACAAAGCGTTAACAAACTTTTTAGACGTTGGATCAAACCCCATCGCTATGATCTTCTTCACTGACTCCTCAAACCTCTCTTTCCCGCAAACGGGTTTAGCTTTCGTGATCAACAAGTTAAGCAAAAGCTTGTGAGGCACGCCAAGCTCTCTCAAAACAGAAACATTCCTTGTTCTGTTCGTCTGTTTTATATCTTGATCTTGTAAAATCTCTTTGACGTAATCAAAGTAGCTAGTGATGGACACGTGTCCTCTTCTCCCCAGGATCTTGGGGACTTTTGAGACAATCTCTGTTAGCTCGGAGCTTGAAGCTCCGTTTAGTTTGAGGAAGTGGAGTTTCGCGCGGAGGGTTTTCTCGGGGTTTTCGACGAGGAAGCGTGGGTAAGTGGTGATGATGGTTGAGATTTGTGGGTCTGTGAATCCGTAGCTTCTTAGGAGTTTTAGGACAGAGTCTGGGTTTTGTTTGTCGGTGAAGTTGGCTTTGGTTGAGATTGATTCGGCGAGTTTTGGAGTTAGGCCTAAGGAGTTGATTAGGTAAGAGACTGTGAAAGTCTTTTGTTTTTGGTCTTCTTCAGGGGTTAGATCTGATGTGGTGGCAGAAGAGAAGGGATTTGCGAAAGGAGGAAGAAATGGAGATAACAAGTTCCTCCATTGATGTAACTCGTGTGACTTTCTTCCGTTGAGTATCAATGAAAACATTGAGAAGGAAGGAAGAAATGAGGAGATTGGAAATGGGATTTGACGGCGAGAAAGGAGGAAGAAGCCGGTTCGGTTTAGGGTTTAGGATTATTACAAAACCAAACTATTATTTTGTCGTAAAAAAAAACTATTGTGTGCGTCTGTTGGGCTTATGAAGTCTTTGTGGGCTTTTTTTAATATTCCTCACAAAACAGTGACTAGGTTTAGCTTTACCCAAAAGTTGTGTAAACGAAACGAACCATGAGATGCCTTCTGATTTCTATTCTGTATCACATCTCAGTAGGATATAGGATGAGTCAAGTCCAACTTTATAATTTCAAAGAGTTTTGTAAGAGTTTTTTTTTTTTTTTTTTTTTTGTTCAAAAGTTTTGTAAGAGTTTAACCAGTGTTGGGGTCAAAATCGGTACGACGGAATCAATAGCCAAAATTCTCCGCAAACACATAAACGCAACAGTTTTATGAATCTCGAGAATCATTTTATAAAACTCGAGAGATCGTTTTATAAAACTCGAAGATCGTTTTATAAAACTCGAGAAGCCGTTTTATAAAACTCGAAGATAGTTTTATAAAACTCGAGGATCGTT